TAAGTTGTAAGTGAAACCTTTGGAGGCATCGCATGGCATATGAAATAACAGACAGAGCAGGTACAGATGGTGCTTCGCTTCTGGAGAAATCGCTAATGAATTTCCCAACAGTCGGAACATTGCTGGAGACGAACTCACCAAGGTTCCTATTGTCGACTGCATCGTCTGTGACAATAAAGGCATCCACAGCAGATAGGATTTAAATTTTAGAGAAAGCAGCATAATATTAAGGCTAAGCTATTTGAGTTCATAGTATTACTTACTACCAAATCTCTTAGCTACCGAAGCATTGAGAATCTGATATGTTTGGTCCTTCAAAGAGCCTAAGATTTCAAAACAGTCTTTAGGAATCGTAAAATGAGTTGGCCGCTTGATAGTGTTGTCAGCAGGTAGCGGCAACAACATGTTGCTTACATGAGATAACGTAGATAACTCTTTAGCAAACCACCCTGTACAATGTAAAATGAATATCAGCATCAGTCTTAACACCAGCAGCAAACACAACATTCTTATTTTGTGAATAAGTAAAAAGTAGTCCAATATGTGTGACTCAATTTTATATTCATACAGAAGCAGCCAGCAATAGGACATGTAAGTTGAAATCGATGAAGCTACGAGGGGAAAAAAGGAGAGAAATATTTACCCACCAACAGTGTCAAACATCTGTGACATTGGAATGACATTTTCTGTCGAAACCAATCCATGGGAAGGCCTGAGTCCAAATATGCCACAATAGGCAGCAGGTACCCTCACACTACCTCCAGTGTCAGTGCCTACATTAGATAAGGGGAAATGAAATGATAGGCAAATCAATTCGCTGCTAGCCTGTGATTGAGAACAATCAGGAATTTTGAGGAACCAGGACAAGGGCTGGTGCAGGGACTGCTGACCCAGAGCGAAGTCGACGAGTTTGGCGCCAACTGCAACAGCTGATCCACTCGAGGATCCTCCAGGAACTCTATCGGGAGCGCACGGATTAGTCGGCGTGCCGTAGTGCGCGTTCTCCCCATTTATGCTGTGAAAGTTGAAGTGAATCTCAGTGGCCTCAGCTTGACGTGATTCGGTCTGAATGTCTGATAGAAACGAAGTCGAGTATCAGGTGGAGGCATGGGCATGGCGTCACCTGTAGGTCATCTCATCCATGATGGTCTTGCCGATGCTTCGCCAGGACGACGGGGGAGGTGGCGCCGGCGGGGGCATGCGTCCTCGCCCAGTCCGGGTTGCCGAACCCAGTGACACGGCCGCTGATGTCGAAGCTGGAGAACAAGAGAACAAATACGCATGCCTTCAGCAATTGAGGATAAAATTGTAGACGAGACACTTGATCAAATTATCGGGGGAGGAGAAGGGGACACTTGCTCACATGTCTTTGATAGCGAAGGTGAGGCCGTGAAGCGGGAGCTGCTGCTGAGATTGCGAAGGCAGCAGCTCGAATTTCTCCATGAAGGCGCCGTAGTCGCCGTCCTCTAACCCCATCGCCATGCCTTCCCGGTTCCCGTCGGCCGTCGCTCTCACCGCTCCTTCCTTGTATCAAGTCTCAACCCAAGCAGTATAGCAGAATGCTATCGAGTTGAGATGATTCTGCTGCATCAGCATCTCCAAGGGGAATGAGAGGTGGGGTGGGACAGGGAACCCATGTTTGGATAGGCAAATGGGAAATACAGGAGATAATCGTATCCCGTGTTTGGAGGGGATTGGGGAATGGAGGAGGAAGAGCAATGGGAGATAAGCAACTGTTCGGCTGGTGCTGATACAATCGTATACAAACGTAGATTATTACTGCTGGCTGATTTGGTATAAGAGATAAATACTGTTCTGGCTGAAAATTTACGATCGTTTACGAGCAAACGAACAGGCCGAAGAGCCTCTTTTCCGATGTTTTAAACCCAACGGCAGGGTTATGTATACAGTATACTAGTAGTCATTTAGTTATTATATCACCCCGTTCCGTTTTGTGACGTTTTGCAGTGTACAGGGGCTTGTATACACTAACACAACCGGCATTATTTTATAGTTGGTCAATTGTGTTTTAACACAACTACAGGTTACAAAATTGAAAAGCTGATTACACGTGCTGCATCAAGGGATCATATTTGAATGTGATAATAGCCTACTAACAAAGAGAGTATTTCTGTGAACTGACTCGGGTGCTAATTCTTGATTATTATTCTCGAACTTCATAAGTTCATGACCAGCACCATAATATCCTTTAAGTAGACCATCCGCCATGAAAGAAAACCAATGCATGAGCTAGATAGCTGATTGTGCAGGCAGGCAGTCTTTCCATGCCATGTTGAAGACAACGTTCAAGCATGTGTGCAAGTGATGAGCTGTGGTTTCCTCAGACATCCTTGAAAAGAAGCTGAAATCTTGGTATCCTCTCGGGAGGAAGGGGGCAAGACACTATCAGTTTGCCTGTCATCGCGCCTCTAAATATTACCTGCCATCAGCAACTCAGGGGATCAGATAAGTTATTTTTGTCAATATCCTCTTCATAAATATTTCCTTCTGTGTAAATATTTACAAAGCAGTGAGAATAAGAAAACTGAAGATCAAAATAGTATCCGGTGGGATACACAATGGGTATAGATAAATAAACTAGTATAGAGCTATGAATAACTAGCATAGATAACACAAGTAGATAACACAAGCTAGGCTGTGATAAATTTTGCTAGTCAGAGAGGCAATTCAGCTATGGAAACGTTAGACTTAAGAGCAGCGAAACAATTCAGGGAATAAAGCTACTACCAAAAAACAGGATATTCCAACAACCAAGATTTGAAAATCATGGCTCAGATGAACAGAAGGACACAAAGGGCCAAGTCATTAACCTGCCATTGCTTTCACACAGAAGGAAAGCCCACATCCTTGTAAGTTTTTTACTAATTCTAGCACATGACAAATTTCTTAATGATAAAAAGTAAATTGTCCTCTAATTTTTTTTAATACAAACAAGAATGTTCTGAGTGGTAAAAGATCAAGCAACCAAGTAAAGCCACTGGCAGAAATGTTATTTGACATCACACTGGCCAATCTATTCAAGGTGTTATGGGGGATATCCTACTATCCTAGAGCAGGGGCACTGAGGTGAACAGAACACTGGCTAGCAAGTTACTTAAATACAACACGGTAAAGAATTTGTGCCAATAGAGTTCAAGCGACTAAGTTTTGCTCAAGCTCAATCATAAGCCATCCGTTGCTTCCTTGGTACTATGTGTGCCAAAATTACATTTCTAGCAAACCTGACTTCTGTACAGCTACTGAAGTGCATGTGTTAGGACAAGTTCACAAGTCTGCAGCAGAACTCAATTTGACCTATCGTAGAACTGGTTAACGAAACAACTAAAATTATCCAAATATCCCTGAGACTGTAGCCATGATTCATTCCAAATAGGAACTTAAGCATGAAACATTGTTCTCAAATCGTACTATCATAGTCCCTTGAAAGTTGAAACAGCTATTAGGATGGTTGTTTCCTTTCCTGTGTTGAGGGCCTTAAAAATTCAGGAGTGGTTCTATCATGAAGTGTGTAGAGTAATAAAAAAACCAGAGAATGACAAACTAGCAAATGTCAATTCACATTAAATACCTCGAGATAACAAGCATATCATGAAGTGTGTAGAGTAATAAAAAACTGAACTATTTTGAACAACTGCTATATCACAACAGAAACATTGTTTGATTATTTACCAGAGTTTTTTTGAAACCTGCACTTGTCAATATTTACACTTAACTTTAAATGCATCATAATCATGAACTTAATTGTTCTGAACTTCTAATCTGCATTTTTTGTTGAGAAAAATACAAAACATGAACATATGATTATACAAAGATTTCAGTTCACCTTTTTTTTCTAGTTTGTAGAAAATTCACAAACAAATCTGTGGCCTTGTCAGATGTTAACTGAAGAGGGAAATATAAATTACAATGTAGAGAAAGCACTCGTGGTTTGCTTACCTCAACTACATCGATGAAGTCTTGTTTGCTGCTAAAAGAACCTATCCATTTTGTGTGATCAGGTGTCCTGTATATTTACATTATAATAAGCCTGTAATATTCCTGTTGCAGCCTTGCAGGTAAAACCACGATACATATAGCCAAGTAAAAAACTAAAAATGATCCTTGCTGGTGCGTATCACCTCAGTATCTACTTTAGATTTTCATAATAGAAGTAGCAATATAAATTTAACCACGTGAATTTATGCAAATAAGGAATAACAGAGGTTCAAATCAACTCAGTACTATGCAGTTTTTAATTACACAATCATTTACACATCAGGGTAGATGTCTCTGCTAGTTGCTAAATAAATACATTGTATACAAACATTTGCAAATAATTCAACAGTCAATATTCTAAGTTCAACAGGATTCAGGCATCATAAGGTTGTCATTTCATATAATAGTAATACAGATGCAAAAGTTCTCATCAAGAGTATCAATAATAAACTAGTACTTTGCTTTTATCATTTAAGTCTTTAATATTCAACACATACCTTCCACAGACTACCTCCTTATTATAGACCCTATTCCTTCTAGCCATTCCAGAGGCTAATGCTTCTAATTTATGTCTTAAGCACTAAAATGTTCATTTCTGTTATACATTGATGACATGAGAAAACCAAAAGCACCACAATGCTAACGTGACAGACATAAATAGTTAACACAAAAGATATCAGTTTTCAACATTATAAAAAAAAGGGCAGACCCAGTGCCGGAGGCTCCCACATGAGTGGGGTCTGGGGAAGGGATAAATCGAGACAAGCCTTTCCCCCGCAAAATCTGCGGAGAGGCTGCTTCGAACCCACAACCTGGTGACTCAGTGAGACAGCTCTCACCACTGCACCAGACCTGCCCTTCTAGTTTTCAACATTATACCAATTCAAATTCAGCAAGCAAAAAAAAACATAATATTTTGTTATGAGTTTATGTAAAAAAACTAACATCTGACAGGAAAGGCTCCAATGAATGGGAATGAATTCTTTTTATGTGAAAAATAGAACCTACCCTGAATCCATCTTCATGTGATGGGCATTGAAGAAGAAAATGGTTGCTGGAACCAAAGTAATGTCAAAGTAGTCAATGTAAACTTGAATCTCCTCAGAGTCCATGTCAACCAATGCTACCGTAGCAAACTTGGATATGTCCCAAGAAGATCTAGCCAGCTGTTAAGACACGATGAATCAGAAAATTTCATAAATTACAGACATACAGAGGCATATACTTAACCTATGGAAATGATGAGAACGGAAAGCCTCCTCCTTAACAGCATGTATACGTACTATAATACTGAACAAAATGTGATTGAAGGTGTTGGGTGTTAAACTATCACTAATAAGGATGTGTGTTACCCCCTGTTTTTTTTCTTTTGGCCTCTACAGATTAACAGATGCTAATTTAGAATACAGAAATAAGAACCTCAATGACACTTCCTATGGTCAAAATAATAGATTTGCAGGGTTTTGTATACCAAGTTATTAATTCCATTTTCACACCGTGAGAGACTGCTATCAGTGCGACGCTCACAGAAAACTGTAAGTTGTGTTTGGTATTCTGTTGATGTGCTCAAACCATCATACACTTTTCCGTGCATTTCATCTTCCCACATCGTTCTAGTAGTTTCAGAGAAAATTTTGACCTTAGGCAGTGTGAAGTGCGAACCCACTGCTCCAACTGATCCGCTTTGATTAATGCACTAATTCCACTTACTAATTCGGGTTCTCTCTAGCTCGCTTCCTTTTTGCGGCGCGTCTCTGGTTCTCCTAGAGTGGATCTGCAGTAGCAAAGTCAGAGCTGCTTTGGTTGTGGAATGCAACAAAGCTTGGCAACGATAACACACTATGTTCTTTTTCTATGGAGGTCGCAGCTTGTTGTGAGTGGCAGCGTGTTGGGGGCTTTGGCTGGGAAGCTGGGAAGTCGGAGCTCCTTATCACTGGCTTGTGATAAGCTCCGCAACGATGATGTGCGGTGGGCTCCATCGGTGGTGTGTCACCTTTGTGTGTAGATGGGTTGCTCAGGGTTAGCCATATAAGTTGTTGTGTTTAGGTTTTTGCCAGTTTTCCTTTAAAAAACTGTGTGATGGTAAGGTTTCCAGGGCTAGTTTCCCTTATAAACTGGGTCAATTCTTTTTCTTCTTAATTGAAACGTAGAGGTCCAACCATTGCGTTTAAAAAAACTAATACAGTAGACAGTAGTACCACATCCTCACAAACAGCAACAACCAGCCAATCTCAAAACTAACCACCACGGCTGGTATTAAAGCCGGCTGTGAGAGAAAAAGCGGACCTAGGCAAAAGGGGAAGGGAGCATGAGGTTTGTGCGAGGGGATGAAAGGCCCGATGATAGCTCAGCTCAACAATAGCCCTCGTGGAGGGGCTGCGGGGGATAGGAGAGAGGGCACTCACGATGTCATCTAGGTGGAGGCAGGCGGCGTCGATGCCGCGACCAAATCGGAGGACGAGGACCTTATCGAGGGTGTCGCGGATGGCGGTGTCCACCTCACTCTTCAGCCGCAGCGTCGGCAGCAACGCCGACCCCATCCCCGCACCGGTCGTTTCTCCTCGTGCCGCTCCTCGGCGGAGTGTGCCTCTGTGCGCACCGGCGGCGTGCGGATGCCGCCGAAACGAGGAACACAAGTTACACAATACGCCGCAGCCTCGCACGTGGCCTCCGCCGCCACGGTGGACGCGCCGCTCGACTGACTGCTTCGGTTATCTGCGGGCTGCGGGAGGGGGAATTTGGATGCGGCCGCCGGGGCGTCGCTCGGAGGGTACGATCCAGGATGGGCTGCGGCCCCCGGCAGGTGGAATAGCGGCGATCGGCGAGAGGGGCGGCGGGGAGAAGATTTGGAGCTGCGGCGCGAGCGCAGGGGTCGCCGGAGACGCGGAGTGCCGGAGTCCGCACCGCCTGGTACGATAATATTCCCTCAGTCCGTTAAAAATGCACGTGCCTGAGGCTCTCAAAATATTTTAAATTTAATTGAAGATATAGAAAAGCCATATCATCTAATTAATTATAAAATATATTTTCATAGTAAACCTATTTAGAAATATAAACATTAATATTATTTTTCTACAAATTTGGTAAAATTTAAGAAAATTTTATTTGACTTGTACCTACAATTTCATTTTATTCTTTTTAGAACGGAGAGAGTAACATTTATGATACCGCATAACTAGACGTATTAGATTAATAGTTAAATATATTTACAATAAGATATAAATAATATTTTTCTATAAATTTAATTAAACTTAAAATGGCTTGACTCTTGAAAAGTGAAAGGTATGTTTATTTTTCAGACAAAGGGAGTATATGGATATTATGTTAGTTCAAAAACATATTAATTTGAAACAAGCAAGCGTCGAATGATAACTCAGAAAACCAAGAAATTATTGATAAAATAGAAAGAAAACGAAGAAACAGGTTTTAAGGATGAACACAAAAACTCTTCGGCATTCCCTGAGGCATTTTATCAAATAGCATTTGCGATAGCCTGTACTTTGTGTCTCCTGTTTCTATGGTTCCATGGTTTATTTTTGGATTTGAAACATTCACATATGGAATTTGGAGCTTTTTTTCTTATTTATATCCTTGCTGCTGTAGCTGAAATTCATAAATCCAATATACAAATAGTTACCACAACGTGTAAAATTATCTGTGTCCCGGCAACAAGAAAATATATAACCTTTTCTTTTTTTACGAAACGAAAACATATAACGATTTGAGGTCATGGAGCTCGTGATGACTACAGTTAATACAGTTAACAAATAAATATTTGCCCTATTAGCTTAGCTGATAAGCCATGACTGAAAGTACCGTTGATTAATTTGTTGTGAGAGAAAAATATTGTTCATTAGTCAAAAAAGTACGGTTTATAAGTCAAGCGAGCAGGACGATGGTAGCTGCCAGCCACCGTTACTATTTTCCGCTTACGATGGAAAATTTGGCACATACAAATATCATTTAGTTTAGGTGAGGAAATCTAGAATATGGCAAACAACAAAGAAAGAATTATAGGTTACTAGCCACTGATGTCTCCTAAACTGAGCCATTCGCCCATACGGCCATACCACTTCGCTTATTCAGCTCCTTCGATGACTAGTGAAGGCAATCAACTGATGAATAGAGTTTTTGATCGAGATATTTGAAACAAGAGAACATAAACACAAGTGTAAATTAGGCATTCAATCGAGGATGAAACATTAGATAGCAGTTGCAAATTGGGAGATGTGGATCATGCATACAAAAAAAAAAAAGTTACACCTAAGTGACTGTACTACAAAGTATCTAATCACCCCCTTTGTCTAAGAGAGCACACATCACAGTTGCAGAGTGGCCTCTTCATAAATAATGTAAAGCACTTAAAGCTAATATGTTGGAATCCAGTAGATACTACACAGGCTGGTACAGTTAGTAAGTTTTGCTGCAATTTCAATCATCTGCTAGAAGAAGTATATTCCTAGAAGGTTTTACTATTTTCTATTAAACTTCTCAATGTTATTAGCAGAAAAGAACACAACTTGCAGTAAACTTGATTATTTTTTTTTCTTGTTCCATGCAAATAATGCAGACAGTATGATAATGCATTCAACATATGCTTATAATCAGTGTTAACCTAAACGGTAAACAGTCCGTCACCCTACGTTTAGTGTTTAGACAGTGCTCAAATGGAGTTAACAGCCTAAACGGTTTTGTGTAATAACACTGAATATACATATCTATGTATGTAAAAGTCAGCTATGCTAAAAAGTAAAAATATCTATGCTTGTAAAAAGTAGCATTTTTTTTTTTGGCAGGAAACTAAATTTCACCTCACCTCATATTTTTATGATGTAAATTAGCTGGGTGCCAATGTGGTAGATGTAATCCTCCTATTGACTAAATGGTGAACTAAATGACTGTTTATCCGATTTAATCAAGTTGAACTCGATTCCGTTTAGATAGTTTATACGGTTTAAATGGTCCAACCGTTCAATTGACCGTTTAGGGCCTAAACAACACAGGTGGCCTTTGTTAACCATTTAAACCCTGTTTAGGCAAGGCTACATAAGAACACATAGCCACATCATGCCATGATTTACTGTTACTGCAATTTGGCTATAGCCAGCCAGGAGCAATTTATTAAAAGTAACACAGGGTCATAGTAGTAACCAAATCCTTATCAAATGCAATTTCTTTTTTTTTTTTTGAAAAAGAATAATACTACATTCTATCAAGCATTCATGACCATTTTCTTCTCGGTAAACAGGTAACAAGTTGGAATATGGTTAGATGAACAAATAATAACGAAAACAGCATGATTATGACAATGACAATGCAAGTGTTTTATTGAGTATAGGTCACTATTTTATATCCAAGGGTAAAGGTATGTATCAGAAAACTAAAAGCATTACACACAACTTGTTTGGTATTGAATAATGCGAATCGAGTCAATACATTATGAGTCCATGAAATCACTAAGATGTCCCTTCTAAATAAAGGAGGTATTTATGCACATTAAGAAGAACAAACTTACTGTTGTAAATGGCATTTATCTGCTAGTGCTCCATATGACCTCTGTTGCATCGTAACCCTTATAAAAACTAAAAGCCCCACCAATCATCCATGCCGAGTGCATTGCTCCATTCACCAGTTACCTCCTTAAGATAATCAGTGGATGGCACATATTACACGTCCCCCAACTAATTTGGGATACTCTTCTCTACAGATTTTTAAAGTGCACTGACCCAGACGGTACAGCAGATCACTAGCTAACTACACAACACAGAATCAATATGAGAAATGGTGGCAATGGAACCAAGGGTAGTAGTGAAGGATCAGACTAAGTAGGAATTCCTTCAACCATATGATACACACCACTTCCACCAACACCTATGCTGAGCACATTGACAACTAAAACATCCTTCTGTTATTGTCATCCTCCCTCAAGAATGGTAGGTTGTGCAAATTCCCCAATATAGCATCAGTTGCATCAACATCCAAATCAAACCCGATATCCTCATCCCCACCAAAATTCAGCATTGTGGCGCTATCAGTTGGCTTTGCCACCTCATTTATGTTGATCTCTCTAGTACCCACTGTCTGCCCCCTTCCTGCATCCCCATTCAACAAATCTGCCCCAAGCATAGATGGCCCAATGCCACTTCCCACGTTACAGGAACCTTGCTTCTTGGGCACAGCACCAACCTTCTTGCGGGCTGTTGTCTTCTTCATCCTTCCTCTAGATGGACCTGCTGCACGGCCAGTGTCACCACTCTTATCTGGGGGCTGCACACTTGCTGGCGTTGAATTGGCGTTAATGGGTCCGCCATTATTCTCACCATTTTGTACATCAGCACCGCCATTATTCTCAATATTCTGTACATCAACATTCACAGTCACCGCAGGTGCTGGCTGCGGCGGAGATTCAGAATTCCCAGGAAACATGGGGCAAAATGGCCTCCAGTTGGTGCTCAAATCGGCTGCCTTAGGGAAACCCATGGGGAAGAACCCCCACGCGCAGTAGTACATGTCGGTGCCGGGCACAATAGGCGGGGCGTTAGGGATCTCGGTGGCCACGAACGCTCGCCTGCAGCCGGCGCTCTGGCACCTGAGCGCGCGCCCCACCAGAGCGCGCTGGTACTGGTACACATGGCAGCAGTAGGGGCACACCGTCCAGAACGCATCGGCATCAGCCGAGGCCGAGGCGCCCCCAGAAGCAGGAGCAGGAGCAGGAATAGGAGAAGGAGCGGCAGCAGGAGCTGGAGCAGGAGCAGGAATAGGAGGAGGAGCGGCAGCAGGAGCAGGAGGTGGATCAGCGGATGCGTTGTTGGAGAGGTCAGCGAAGGCTTCTTGGATGAAGTGGAGGGCGGTGTCCGCGGCGGGACGGGGGTTACGCGGGGAAGACACGAGCTGCGAGAGGCGGTGGAAGGAGCGGTTGGCGGCGGCGGGGTCAAGGCCGGGGGCGGGCTGGAGCTGGAGCACGGCGACCGGATCGGGGCGGCCAGAGGGGAGCAGGCGCTGGGAGGCGAGGAGGACGTCGGCGACGGCGAGGAGCTCGTCCGCACCCGGGAGGTCCGGGTCAGCCTCCACCGCGCGCTCCGCCAGTCGCTTGCAGCCGACCAGGTCCCGCGCGGCGAGGAGCTTCCCGGCGATCTCCAGCCACCGGGCCGGCTCGGCGCGGCTGCGGCCGCCGCCGGCGGCGGCGGCGACGGAGAAGTCCATGTGTTGGGTGGGAGGAGTGGTGATAGACTGGCAGGCAGCGAGCGCTGGAGGTGGGGCTCAGCTGTCAGGTGGACGAGGCCAAATTTCTCCCGTCCCCTTTCCCGTGAAAACTCATGGAAGCACTTCTTCCCCGTTCCCATCCCCACTCGGGGATTTAATCCCCGCGGGGATCCCCATCCCCACATCAACACGCTTGCCTCTGCCGTCGGAGCCGAGGCTGCCGCCGTCGCCCGTGCTCTCCCTCTGCTCCGCCCTCTCCTCTCCTCCTCTCCTCCACCTCCACAGAGCGCCGTCGAGCACCCTCTCTCTCTGCTTCCCCTTCTCCCTCTCTACTCCGCACTCACCGCCGCCCACCGCTATGCTCCCCCGTTCTCCCTTAGCTCTGCTCCTCCCCGTGCACGCAGGTCGCAGCGTCACCGCACGGTCGGCCGAGCCGAGGCCGCTGCCGACGGCGCCCCGCGTCTTGCTCTCCACCTCGCCCTACGCACCTGCTCTGCCCTCTTCCCCTCCTCCGCTCTCTCTCTCTCTCTCCTCCGCCCTCTTCTTCCTCGCCTGGGTCGCCACAGAAGCTAGGATGCTGCACACGCCGTCGGGGCCTAAGGGCTCAAGGATGCTGGGCGGAGGGGCTAAGGGGCTCCGGGATGTTGCACACGCCGTAGATCCGAGCTTCCTAGGCTACTCCGACGAGGGCACGACCACACGAGGCCGACTCCGATGAGTCGATGACGGGCGAGCTCACTGCCGCCCACCGCTCTGCTCCCCTGTTCTCCCTCAGCTCTGCTCCTCCTCGTGGACGCAGGTCGCAGCGCCACCGCACGGCCGACTGAGCCGAGGCCGCTGCCGACAGCGCCCCGCGTCTTGCTCTCCACCTCGCCCTGCGCACCTGCTCTGCCCTCTTCCCCTCCTCCGCTCTCTCTCTCTCTCTGCCCTCTTCTTCCTCGCCTGGGTCGCCACAGAAGCCGGGATGCTGCACACGCCACCGGGCCCGAGGGCTCAGGGATGCTGGGCGGAGGGGCTCGGGGGCTCCGGGATGCTGCACACGCCGTAGATCCGAGCTTCCGAGGCTACTCCAACGAGGGCACGACCGCACGAGGCCAACTCCGACGAGTCGATGACGAGCGAGCTGCTGGGTGTGGCCTTCCGCGACCACTAGCGTGCGAGAGCGAGAGCGCGAGATGCCGAGCGAGACAGGGGGCGGCGCGACGACTGGAGGACAGGGTTGGGCGGATAGGGATTGAGGAACGAATTAGGGTTGGAATGGTGCATTATATACTCCGTGACTTATTGAGCCTTTTACATGGGGCCGGCGAGTGGCGATCTGGCCGTCTGGTGCCTTCTTCGTAGGGCGGGTCGGCGGGGATCGGGGTCGGGGATCAGCGAACCATCCCGGTCCCCGCCATCCCCGACGGGGACAACTTTCCTACCAAATCCATCCCCGTGGGGATTAATTTCTCTCCATCCCCGTCCCCTAATGGAAGAATTCCCCACGGGAATCGGGGATCGGGTCCCCGTTGCTATCTTTAGAGGGGAGCCTTCTTTTCTGGGCGCTAGCGGAGAGTTTTCCGTTGCGGTGACGGTGGTGGTTAGTTGTTAGTACGCCGCATGATGGTGATTACCCATGTTTACATCAGAGCAAATCCCAAGGTTTGACTTAGTATATAAGGGCCAAATTATTTGTCAAATGCCCATTGAATTGCTCACCTCCAACTAATTCGGCCCAGGAAGAACTCTCATCGAAGTTGACAAAGTGCTCGACGACGTGTCATTAGAGCATGGGCCAGCAATGTCAAAAGACAACACAATTTTTATAGGTAAGGTCCACAGCAGGAGGTATTATAGTTACGTAAAATGCAACAATTCATACGGATAGGATGGTAAATAAGTTTCACGTGAAAAAAAATGTCTGCTCCTCAACCTCCTAGTGGTCCCCTTCGTATGAGATCTCAATCTCAATTCTCGCATCAACCCTTCCTCTTCCGCCGCCTAGAACCCTACTCTTCTTTGCCACGGTGTATATCGCAAGACTTGCTCAGTAGAGCTTTTGCTGCGTCTATGCTACAACTGCAGTTAGGCAACCACATAGCATTGTACTCTACGATAGACGCAACACAATAAAATTTATAGATTGTTTGAAACTTTAGATAATAGCGTGGGAAAGCTACATTCGTCAAGCATAGCTCTCAAGCGTTCGATATGGAGCGCCTAGGTTAGATGTGCATGCTTGATTGGTCGGTGCTCCCAGATTAAAGCTACTTCTTCCATTCTAAATTATAAGTCATTCCAAGAATCTTTGGAGAGTCAAAGCATCTCAAATTTGACCAAATTTATATGATAAGATAATAACATTTATGATACTAACTAAGTATCATTAGGTTCTTCATTAATTATATTTTTATAGTATATCTATTTAATGTCACAAATATCTGTAATTCTTTCTATAATTTTGATTAAACTTGAAATGTTTTAACTCTCCAAGATTCTTGAAATGACTTATAATTTAGGACGGATGGAGTACCGCCCTGTTTGTTTGGGCTTGTTTGGCTGATAAGCCATGGCTGAAGTACTGTGGACTGATTTGGTGTAAGAAAAAAATATTATTCGTTGGCTGAAAAAATATGGCTTATAAGCTAAACAAACCCAAACGAAGAGGGCGTACATCCAAACACGTTCTTATTGTTGCAGCAGTCAAAACGGCTACAATAAAGTACTAATAAACCACCGCTACTGAGCAAGCTCATACAATAGATCTCGTCGACAAAACAACCACCGAAAGACATGTCCACTGTTGTCGTCTCGATCATCACAAGTGCGCATGCTACATCATGCATTATCAAGCTCATACAACAAATCTCGTCGACAAATCGACCACCTAAAGACACGTCCATTGTTTTCTGGATCATCACAAGTGCGCATGCTATAGCATGCACTATCAAATATCTCTTAATATGTATTACATGATTAATCAACATATTTCAACATACTTATGCACATCCCAAATGCATCAGTATTTTTATATGTATTTGGGACGTGCACTCTTTTTCTAACGGATCATGCTGCTCAAGGACGCCCGCAACCACAGAACCACCTCAATCCTTGGTTAGGTTGCAGAGGAACCTCCGCAGCTTCTTCACCTCGAAGCACGACCTCCCGCTCCGGCTCTTCGGGACCAGCTCGCTCCTCGCCCACGTGCCGCGGCCATCGTCCCCGTTCGCGCGGCGACGAAGCACGGCCTCAGCGGCCACTCGCCTCTTGGCGCGCGCTGCGTCCAGCCTCGCCACGGCGGCCGCTCTTCGCGCCTTCACCGCGCGCCGTGCCGCCTCGGCCTCCTCGACGCGCGCCTCGGCCTTCCGCTCCTCGGCCTCCACGAGCCTGCGCAGCTCCTCGAGCTTCCGTGCCGGCAGCGCCACGACGTCGTAGTGGGGGTCCTCCTCGTCGCCGTCGCCATCGATGTCGCCGCGCGCGCGCGCGGTCAGCTCGGAGGCCGCGGCCTCGGACCACGCCAGCGCGTGGACCTCCGCCGCGACGGCGCGCTCGGCCAGCTGAAGCGCGCGCGCGGCCTGGCGCCTCACGAGCACCCGCTGCTCCAGCTCGTCCTTGGCGCCCCTCGACGCCGCGACCTCCGCGCGCAGCCGCCGGAGCTCGGCACGCGCTCCGTCGACGTGCCGGCGGAGGTCCTCCGCGGCGGCCTTCTTCCTCACCGCCGCCTCCTGCCTCGTGGTGATCGCGCCGTTCGTGGACTCGATCTGCGACTTGAGCAGCGGTATCTCGGCTGCCGTCGCGGCGAGGCGGTTCTTGGCCGCGGCCAGGTTGGCGCGGAGCCGCTCCAGCTCCTCGCCGAGCGGCATGGACGCCAGCCACGCCTGCACCGCCGCCTCGCGGGCGCGCTCCACCTCCTCTCTGGTCCCCGACAGGTCCTTGAGGACACTGGCGGTTGTGCTCGGGGGGAGCTTGGCCGATTCATTGTTGTTGTTGCCTTCCATTGCCTGATTGCCAGACGATGAGTTCGACGTGATTTAGCTGGACTGGGTGCATATACCGTTGTTATATGCAAGGTGGCATCTACGCTTCTTCTTGGTGTATCCTATGGGATTTGTTGTTTCGATCGCTGCCCCGCTGGCTGTAATTGTAAATGTGTATATTTCGAGTTCAAATAATAAGCGCGGTAGCGCACGGTGCTCGCAGAGTCAGACTCGTGGGCAACTGGACATTACGGTGTACAACTGTACAAGAGTCAAGAGCATAATGACAATTAGAACGAGAGGGAGTATCGAAGCAGGCAGGTGAATAATTCGTTTTTGTCTCAGATAATTTGAGGCGAACTGCTCGGTGTCTAGTACTACTACAGTAACTTTTTATCAGTCGGTTAGGTCGCGGGTGCTGAAGCCTGGGGCTCCAGTGCAGTCGTACTTACCCTTCTTTTTCCAGTTAGGAAATATATAATTTAATATTTGGTGTTCGTGCCAATAATAAGATTTTGAGCATCAGACTTTCTAAATCTCACTCTCTAAATCATCATTTGAAGAGTCACTTGCATAAAAATCGTTTTCTATGGCTCCGTTCGCGTGCCCTTAAACCCGGCTTGATCCGCTTATTTTTTATCCGGAACAGTGTTTTTTCTCTCACAAATTCCTCCAACATTCCTCCAAACCATCCAGATTCCTCCAAAATTCAGACAAGTGAACAGGCCCTATATCTTTTCACCCTCCAGCAGTCTTTCTATATCTCATGCGCACTTTAGAGAGTTATTTTCGTCTTCTATTTTTGACTAGCGAAATCCAAAACAAAAATGACTATATTTAAATAACCATTTAGAAAAAACTGTTGGAGGGTAGTTTTTCACCAAATTCTCTATTACTAGCGTTTAGGAATGATTTAGAGAGTCTCTTGGATCGAGTTGCTCTTAGTTGGCTTTGGTCTAACCTGAAATCAAATAAATTTAAAACCCATAATAAATGTTAGTACAATAAATGGTTAAACCCATATGATAAATTGGCAGTCGACTTAACCTAGATATATGTTTATTGTGTGCACGTATCGTGGCTTTTAAAAAGATGTATGATGAGCGGCCAAAACATGACATGTTCGGTGGGACACCGATGAATGTTTTGTAGTTCTAAACTCAAAGTGAGAATGGTGAAAACGAGGGACGAGTGGATGACGGACCGAGACACAGAACATTGAGTAAGGGTGGATGGGAGAGAGTGAAAGATGAGAGAGTGAAGACAGAGAAAGAAATTTTCGCTCAAGAACGAAGGGGAGTACTACGTGGGTTCCTCCTAGTTTCAGTTTCTGGTGTTGGTTGCTCTGATGCATTCTTAATAATTTTTCCATTTGAGTAGTCCAGTTGCTGATGACCGATTGTTTATCCAGATCAGACTTTGACTTTCGTATCAACACACTTGCTAAACTTTTGCAGCAAACCCGGCCCCTAATTAACAATAAGCTGTGTACATTGATGTGCATTGCTTACCTTCTCCCGCTTTTTGTTTTATTTTTCAATAATCCGCAAGTCTTGGTCATTGTGACTGATGTGCATTCTCGCCCAGTTGTAGTTCTCACTGATTAAACAATGGATGTTCATGCAAGCAAGCAAGCACGAAGCTACCGGCCGGGTTTGAAACATTCGACGGAAGGCAAGCAGGGCGGCTAACGCCCTATATTGTACTACTATACATACTTCTTCTAGCTTACAATACATACCTACTACAATCCAGTTCAAGCATAATATCCATTAATTCGTATAAAATAAAGTTGACCTCGTGTTTAATAAACATCAAAAGTTTATCTCAGAACCATAATTTCGCATTCGTTGGTGAGGTCGATGTGGAAGCATGTGTTCATCTGCTTGCAGCCTGTTCGTTTGCTCGTAAACGATCGTAAATTTCCAGCCGGGAACAGTGTTTTTCTCTCACACCAAACCAGCTAGCAGTAAATAATCCACGATACGATACGGCCTCCCGAACAGGCTGTTGATCGGGCAGTTGACCTGACTCGCTCCCTTCAGAAGCCGCCTCTGGTAAGCATTTTCTAGTGTTGTGGAGTGCTGTCACGCACTGGAATATCAAACTGCCTAACACTTCTGCTGTTGGGCTATATAAACCTACCCTAGCCAAGTACATGTGCATCAGTACATAATCAATCATCAGATCACAACTAGCTAGAAGACAGGAAGTTCCTGCTTTGTGTTCTGTCATTACTCTAGCTCGTTGCCGTCTCTTGTCTTGCTGATCTAGACGGCCATATGGCTACCCTTGCTTCTCGGAAGATGACGGTGCTGACCATCGACGGCGGCGGCATCAGAGGCCTCATCCCCGGTACAATCCTCGCCTTCCTCGAGAAAAAGCTTCAGGTGCGTTGCGTCGTTCACTATTGCTACAGCTAGGACATGAGTTGACATTAGAGTTTTGCGTGTACGTACGTGGGAGAAGGGTTTCAGTACGTACTCATGTCTGATGATTACATGCACGCATGGACGCATGGTGTATGTGATGATCCACCGTAACTGCATGCAGGAGCTAGACGGGCCCAACGCACGGCTGGCCGACTACTTCGACTACATCGCCGGAACCAGCACCGGCGGCCTTATCACGGCGATGCTCGCCGCCCCGAATAAGGATAAGCGCCCGCTCTTCACCGCCGAGGGCATCAACAAATTTTACCTGGAGAACGGGCCAAACATCTTCCCTCAAAGGTAGTACAAAAAGTTACAGCGAGGGGGGTTGCACATAAATATCCCACCAGCACCCAGCAGCTGGTAATTTAAGTTTAACCATGCACACGGGAACTGATCGATGACTACTAAATAACCTATTAATATAGCTTTAGTATTTGAATGGGGTATGCTTACTTTTGGTTAATCGAATAGGAGCTAAGCTATCTCAGTTGGTCGATGGTGTGAATGTGTATACCCACTCAGATCTAAGTCTTAATTTTCGTAGACAAATTTGGCTGCTTATTTTCTTTTTAATAAAATGCAACTAGTTCTTTCTAGATTGGTCTAGTTTTTTTTTATTTGGTTGAACAGTAATACTAAAATTTGGTCTAGTCTTCGAGATGCTAAAAAAGCAATCCTCTAAACGGCTTTTGCAACGAACATGATTTTGCCCCATACATGCATGGATGGGTCTCACTACTGTCAACAGGAATGTTGTTGTGCCATATAAGGTCTTGTTCGATTAATCCCCTATCCAAGAGGGTTGTTGGGACCGAGGGAAGATATGCCCAGGGAAGCCAAGGCCCCTGGATTTAGGTGGACGGTCGAAACCATGTTGTTTTCCTCCCTCGTTCCATGTGAGCTATTTGTTTCGGCTGCAGTCCCTCTTGGTCATGGAAGTCACGACGACAGACGGCAGTAATCCCTCATGGTCGCGTGGCCGGTCCTGAGTTTTTTTAGACCTAGGTCGAGAACTAATACAAAGGCCTAATCCACTTTATCAATGTTCATAAAATAGATAAATATAATGATAAAATACTCTCTTCGATCTCGTTTTCCAAGAAGTCAAAGAATCTTAGTTTGACAAGATTTATAGAAAAGGAATTTTAAATATAATAAATCTAAAAAAACAAAATGTTTTATAATTCGGAACGAAGAGAGTATTTTTATACATATTTAGTCAAACTTGGTATTGTTTGACTTTTCGAGAATCGAGAATTACATTTTGGGAATGGAGAGAGTACTTGCTTGGCATTTGGCATCATTTTGAACAATTTCTTCTAACATTTCGACATGCAAAATCATTGATTATACTATTGATGTTGATCTCATCTAATTTCTCCATTCATAATTAAAGTCGCAAACCATTTAATCTTGATATTGTTTCAGCCTTTTGCGTTGGGCACCTAGGCCACAGCTACCCACGTCATGCATATATATATACACACTTTTTTATTCATATACATACTAATGTACTACTCTTCGGATGAGGCCTATGGCAATTTGAGGCCTAGGGAGGTGGCACACCTTGCCCACCCCCAGGACCTACGGGAGAGCCTCCCCGATAAAAAAGTCATGTGTCATGATCGAGCATCCCTCCGCACGGGCTCCCAAATGCTGGGGGAATCTGGCCCGTGGCCAAGTCCCACGTGGGCTTCTAGCCCAGGGAAAAGGCAGGGGCACCCCAGGGATTCAGGCTTCCAAAGGGGGCCATATAAGTCAAAATCCCTCCTCCCACTCTACTCTATCTCCTTAGATTGAGGATTAACAGAACAAACCCTAAATGATGAGCTATATGAGACGAGTGTATGTAGGACCAAAAGATAGAGACGTTGGCGATCAACAATAATTGGTTTGGATAATATCTTTACTTTTAGAGAAACACTCAATCATTATTTCAAAGCACGTTGCCAGGGCTGACTAATCAAATAAGTCAAAGTTGGGTAAGGAGAGATTCCAATGTATAAAAACACTTCTTTTTTCGCTGTGGTTCTGACTTCTGACCAGGTTGCGTTACACACTTACACTCCCCTGTGCTTTGATTATTGTCGTATATATGGGTCATATAAAATAGCAGTCGAGCTTAGCACTTATCCCCGTTGATGATTAATTAGGGTCAAATTCATAACTAAAAATACCCACTACTAGGTAACGATCGCGTCTCTCTCTCTATATATATACACGAGATATATGATAGTGTTCTTGAGTCTTGACAAGATCAAACATTTCATGTTTGTCAATAGTTGCGAGGTTTTTTTTTCGAATACGCAAAATGTTTGCGCATCTTTATATTAAGATCGAGAAAGTTTAAATTTAAATGTTACAACGACGCGCCACATCCCCGGCGCACTAGAGAGGACATGATATGTTACAATGTTCCCGTTCCTCCCTAGCGTACCAAATCGAAGGCTACTACTCACGCACTAAACAACCTAGGTGCCACTGGTGCCAGGAGCCTAGGCACGACTGTTGCCGCGTCGTCTCGACCGCCCTCCATTGCCAGGTTCAGGAAAGAGTTCTCTCATGGCTTCAGCGTGTGATGGATTGAGCTCATCTACAAAGATGCTGTACAAGTGATAATATGATAGCGATGATCTTAACAAGATCAAAAACATTATATTAGGAAAAGTTGTGTCGACGCGTACGGCAGTGTTCATGTTGACCAAGAATGGGTGATGATGATGACCTAACAACAGAGTTTGTGGCAGACGTTGAGATGATGCAGGCTTATATAATTCATGTAGGAGTAGCATGTTACTTTTTGTATCTTATAATCACTGTTCCAGCTTGATGCTAGCTGCAATAACGAACCAGAATTTGCGTGCACAACTGTTATGCAGAGGCTGGAAAACCCTTTTCATTGCTATGAAAAAAGTAGCTAATCATGCTTATTAGTGGTGATACACTGATAGATACGATGTAGTATGTTGTAATGCTAAGCTTTCTCTCATCCATTAATTGTGGATTGCACAGGCCAGACTTTGAAAACAAGTTGCTGGAGCTCAAGGGGCCGAAATACGACGGCAAGTTCCTGCACTCCAAGATTCAGGGCCTCCTTGGCGCTACTAGGGTGAACGAGACTCTCACCAACGTCGTCATCCCCGCCTTCGACGTCAAGAACCTCCAGCCCACCATCTTCTCCACCTTCGATGTATGTGATGGTGTTCGATCATGCAAGGCTTCATTCATTCATGAATCATGATGCACAACTAGCAGTAATGTATATATAGGATAGATATATACTCCTATGATCGATGTGTTAACCGCGTACATGCACGCGTGCAGGCTCAGAGCCGGCCTCTGAAGAACGCGCTCCTCTCGGACGTTTGCATCAGCACGTCAGCCGCGCCGACGTACCTCCCCGCCCACTTCTTCCAGACCAGGGACGACGCCGGCAACACCCGCGACTTCAACCTCGTCGACGGCGGCGTCGCCGCCAACAACCCAGTAAGTGTTAGTTAGTTGTGCACATCATGTTTAGGTACGGTTTGTTATGAACGACGTATAGGAATATGAAGTAAAGAATCAAACCACAGAGGAGACACACGATTTAACGTGGAAAACCCCTCCGATGTGAAGGGGAAAAACCACGGGCACCAGCCAGCAACAATCTCACTATCTCAAGAGTTTTGGGTTACACGCCTATGGCGGCTTACAAGAGAATCAAGTCTCCATGAAACCCTAGCAAGGGTGTATATATAACAATAAACTCCGCTCGCTCGGCCCAAGCCTCGACGCTTCGCTCCGTATATCCCGGAGTGAATTTGGAACAACTCCAACAAACTCCACCTTGACACAAATTCATCTTGTATCATAAATCAACCCTTCATCCCGAACATACCAAAGATAGAAAACCACTTGGTGCCAACAATAGTCTCTTGACTATCCAATTAAACCAACTAAGCTTGAGCACAACTCAAACTTAGCAACAGAACAGGCTTTGTCATCATATCGCCAGATTATCATGAGTACTAATCTTGCATACCTTCACTTACCTTCTTCAATCACATCACGCACAAAATGATACTTGATATCTATGTGCTTAGTTCTCTCATGGAACATCTGATCTTTAGTGAGGTAAATTGCACTTTGGTCATCACAAAGGCAAACTTATGCAAGATTCAACTCCACAAAGCTCACTGACAAACCTTTCAATAAATAAATTAATTCTTTGCACGCTTCACAAATAGCCATATATTCTCGCTTCAAGAGTAGACAAAGCAACAATCCGATCGTCCAACTCACAAAGACAATCGCCAACAAGACATAACTCAGGATCTTCGCTCGTCGGATCAAGCGGCGAGAATCCACATAGCCAATAAGACCCTTATCGGTTCTTCCAAACTTTAAACAGAATCATTGCCTCTCGAGGTACCGAAAATCCACCGAATCGCCCTCCAATGTTCTTTGCCGGATTAGACATATATCTACTAACAAGACTCATAGCATATGACAAATGGACGAGAGCAAACCATGGCATACATCAAAGACCCAACAAAGACTAGAATAAGGAACCCTTGACATGTATTCAATCTCTGCATCGTCGGACACCGAGCAAATTTGACAACTTAAAGTGAAGTGCAATAGGGGTACTAATGACCTTTTAGCATTTTGCATGTTGAAACGCGCTCTTGATATAATTTTGTTGACTAAGAAATAGCAAACCAGTTTTCCACTAATTTCCATACCAAGAATTTTCTTAGCACTACCAAGGTCTTTCATATCAAACTCACTACTCAATAGCTTCTTTAACTTAGTGATTTCAATCTTACTCTTGGCGAGAATCAACATATCATCAACATATAACGCAAATATATAGGTGATCCATTAACATGCTTGATGTAAACACAAACTATCATACTTAGATCTTTTAAAACTGTACAGCTAACATAAATGAATCAAACCTTTTGTTCCACCGACGGGGACCGTTTCAAACCATACAAGGATCTCTTCAACTTGCACACATATTTTTCCTTGCTGCACTATGAACCCTTCCGTTGGTCCATGTATATGTCCTCCTCAAGCTCTCCATGCAAAAACGCAGCTTTCACATCTAATCGCTCAAGCTCAAGATCATGTGAAGCAACAATACTAAGGAAAGTACGAATTGAACTGTGTTTTACCAATGGAGAGAACACATCATTGTAGTCAACACCGGAATTTGATCGGCCTTTAGCAACTAACCTTGCCTTATACTTTGGAGGCTCGCTTGGAGATAAATCCTCCTTTCTCTTGAAGATCCATTTGCAACGATGATCTTCTTATTCTTAGGCAAAGGTACAATCTCCCATGTACCCGCTTCTTCTCAAGAGAATCTCCTCATGCATAGCGTAAATCCAATTCTCGGATCACCACAACGAATAGCTTCTTTATAGGTTGTTTGGCTCATGAACATTCTCCACTGTTCAAAGACAACTCAAAGCATAGTAAGACAAATTACACTCTTCAATAAGACGCTTAGGAGGTGCAATTGTCCTTTTGACTTGCGCGTTGAGCAATAGGTAAATCCTCCTCTAATCAAAAAATAGGAGGAGTTTATCAACATCATCATGAGCATCATCCTCAAAGCAACATCATTATCATGGTCACCATGCTCATCAATGGGCTCCACACACACACCAGTATCATCATCAACATGCTCCACTGCATGTGTGCATACGCCGCAGCTCCTTTTCGGAACATGATCTGAGGGCAAGCTGTGTCACAGATTCATTGAAAACAACACTCCTATATAAAGTCTTTCCCTTTTCGTAATTCCACGATTTATAGCCTTTGACTCAACTATAACCAAGGAAAAGACACTTAACAGCTCTAGGCTCTAATTTTCCATTATCAACATGAGCATAAGCGAAGTGCATCCAAAAACTTTCAACCGTGAATAATCGCAGCGTGCTCTTACCTCAATGGGAGTTCTTTTATTTAGTGGAATAGAAGGTGACCTGCTGGTACGATTAGCGCCAAATTTCAAAAAGCTTGCTCATCCCGGCATTAGACAAAGATGCAACGGCCTGGACATGATGGTTCTGTTCATGCGTTCGCCACACCACACCATTCTGTTGTGGAGTATGGGGTATGGTGTGATGCCTAACAATGCCTTCCGATTTGCAATAATCATTAAATTCACGCGAACAAAATTCTCCACCATTATCAGTACGAAGCAATTTTACCTTCCTTTCAGTTTGCCTTGCTAGGGTTTCAGTGTGTGTGTGTGTGTGAAGCATTAATAATTTGCAATGGCCATGCATGCAGTGGCTGCCTCTTGTCTTGTCGTACGTTTTCTTTTCTTTTTTTTTTTTTTTTTTTGCTGGTACGTTTTCTTTTCGATCAGGGACTCGGGTTTTGAAGGTTGACTTTTGTGTATGTAATAATGTAATAATTGTTGATCAAAAACTCGATCCGCGGTGGCTGGCCACAGACCTGTGCTTTGAACGTGGAGCAGACGAGGTAGTTTTTTATCCCCTTGATCACTACGGCCAAAACCACAAATAAAGAGTGAGTCATTTGGGACTCAAACTCCGACCACCCCCATGGGGAGATACTGAGCCTGCACTGACCACTCGGTCAGCCAGGCCGTTCCCTAATAATTGTTGATCAATTCCCAGATCAAGTAAGAAACCGCATTGTTCATTCAGTTCAATTGTAAATGGCGTGTCCATGGCAACAAAGAATTTTTTATCTTTAATGACTCCGTCAATGTCAAATGTTGCTGGTCTAATCTCGTGGATATGCTCATGGGCGTGAGTATGTGTGTATATTTCCCAAGAAGGAAAATACTCGATATATTTTCATAATAAATCTAATTGGAGATCTAAATGCATTAAGTATTGATGTTTATGATGTGGATTAAGTATCATTAGATTAAATATGAAATATATTTTCATAATAAATCTAATTGGAAATCTAAATGTAGATAATATTTTGTATAAACTTAGTCAAATTCAAAATTCTTTGACTTTCGTAAAACGAGATTTACATTCTTTCTGGGTCATCATTTTTCTACAGAGAGAAAAGGACAACAGGGTTGGTTTTGCCGGGGTTCCAACATAGCCTTGACCGCATAATTGTAAGAGAGTACTCTTCTCAAAATGGTTCCAACGTGCCGGGGGGGTTCCAATCCGTTTTCAGTCAATCTAGCGCCAGTTATCTGTCTGGCTCCACCACCAGTGTACCAGAGAGACGAAAAGCTTGTTAGCTCTATACTGGTTGAACCAAACCGAGCCAAAGCAACACGCATGCTCGTTAATCCAACCCTCTAATGGCAACTGTCAGAACAGAAGGCCCTGACGCCGAGACGCCGGGTGGGCGAGGCGATGTTTAACAGGCCCGCGTGACACAGATGCAGTCCGGGCCACCATTTTGAGAAAAAAAAAACAGCTATGGTCTACCCTCGTGCGGGCCGGTCCTGCTAGCGGCGCCCGTGCTTCGGCGTCTCCTGTGTCCGAGCCCGACCACTGCGCGGGGCAGCGCTGCTACGGATTCACGGAACGTACCCGGTGGCGCACGGAGGATGGCAGAAACCCGGAGCGATCTCCGTGTTGCTCCCTCGTCCGCGAGCCGTCCTTCCACGGCATTCAACGTCGACACCCCGCACGGCGCAAATTCGTCAAAGGCACCGTAAATGCGACGACACGCACCACGAACTGCTCGCGCCATCATCACGCTCCCTGCTCCCTTCCTTCCCCCATATTTTACTCAGTCTCACAGCCATTGGGCGTTTTCGCAAACCACTCACAGCCTAGGTGCAGCCACAAGCAGAGAAACCCGTACAGTATGCCTCAAGGTCTCTGGACGGACGACGTGCGAGCTAGGTAGCTCGGTGAGCAGAATCGAGCCGGGGCGGGGCAGCTCTGATGAACTGCCGCGACAGCGACGATGGAGCGGCTCGCGTTAATGCCGCTGTGCGGTCTGGCCATCTGGGCGTCTGCATGTGGCCGCGGGAGTGAGGACGGGCGATGCAGACGCAGTACGCGCGCGTTTCTGCCCGTGCCGCTGCTCTCGTCCGCGGTCTGTTTGGGAGGCCAGGCCAGGCACAGGCACTCGGGTGGGCAGAGGCAGAGGAGCTCTCGTACTTGGCGGTTGGCAATCAAGTCTTTTGGCAATCAATTGATGCAGCTGCAATGAAAGCTACCATAAACCACTGCTGCCGCCATGGCCCGGACCCCAGCCTGTGAGAGCTGCAGTGCACTGCTAGCTTGTAGCAACTTCTGTGGATGTGGTCCGTCCTCAGTACGTCCTCAGTGCTTCGTACTCATTCATTCATTCATACAGTATGCTACGTATACAGAGCACGGTACTACATGTTGTATCTTCTTCTCCCCGACCTGTGTCTCGTCTCATATATAAATTCATCCATAGAAAAACGACCTGTAGATGCTGTTTTTTTAGTCGTCCTCTTATCCTCTAGTAGAAACAGAAGCTTGCGAAGGAACGAGTTCTTTGTGGACGAACATTCCTCCGCGGGCGCGGGCGTTTGAGCGGACCGGAGACCGCACGGCATGCAGCTGTCCTTCGCCGACACATCGGTCCGGGCCGCCTGGGCACCGCAGATGGCGCTGCCGTTCCGGTTTCGGTTCCGGTTCCGTTGCCGTGCCCATCTTTGCGGGACAGGGACTGCGTCTTGGAGGCACAAGGATTTGCGTCTTCGTCGTTAACCTGTTTCTGCGGCCGGACAGTGCTGAAGCAAATCTGACAGTTCCGTTGACGGGCGCTGGTCGTGGTCGCCGGTCCGGCAGAGAATCAGCAGCCTTGATCGATCGTAAACGATCGTAAATTTTCAGCCGGGAATAATGTTTTTCTCTCACACCAAACCAGCCAGCAGTAAATAATCCACGATACGATACGGCCTCCCGAACAGGCTCCAGAAGCCCAGAACGAACGAACGAACTGCGCTGCCTGCCTCTGCCTGCCTGCGGCGCGCAGCACGGACGGCTCCCCGACAGGCCGGGCAGGCATGGCAGTACACGTGAGTAGAGCCAAATGCCTGCCACTGCCAGCTTCCTTTGTCTTCACTCCTCATCCAGACTGCCAGCGCCAGATCCTTTGCCTTCCTGCCCTGCCCGTAGTACTATCGCTCTCGATCGTTCTTGCTTCCTGGATTCTCATTCGGTCATCCGGAGGACGGGAGGAGTGTTTTCTCTCTGCGTGTGGACTGTGGACCCTCGTCTCGTCTCGGCGGTGGTGCGAGATGAGATGAGGCTTGCTGGCCTTGCCTTGCCTTGTGCTTGCTCTGCCACCGATAAAGCTGATATTCTGTTCGTCTTTTAAGATTGTTTGATTTGATGCTCCGCTGCAGCATACAACCAGCACTGTAGCTTCCTCTTAGCAAATGCCGATTACTGCTGGTACGGAGTAATAGTACTCACCATTAGCCATTCAGCCTAACGAAATGGAGCGTTGGGTGTAGCTCTAGCGGTATCTGTGGGGTTACATACTACAGTTGACAGTTCATCAGGACTTCGGGTCCAGAATTCTTTACCAACAAAAAAAAAACAGAACTTTTGTATAGTAACTATATCCTCACAATGCTGTCTTGATCTCCAGGAGTTTAGAGACCGGGACACTCATGATGCCAAAATCCGACCGTGAACTGCGCCAGATTTGGGACCATTATTAACTCCCATCAATTTAAAATGGACACGGGAGCTAATTTCTTGGTACCATTGTACCTGCCCAACTAATTGAGCTACAAGAATACCCAACCGACTTTACGGCGCGTGGGAGCGGTGGTCGCGCCGTGGCGCTCTAGTGCGACGGTCGCGTAGTAGAAATTCCGCTTTAGCTAGCAACGGAGCAAAGTCGCCAGTAGAATGCGAACGATGGCGTTGCTTTCGATCTCCCTGTACCCTAGCTGCATGCATGAGCCTCATCGGCCAGTTCGCTGATTGGTTTCTGGGTTGATAAGCTTGGCTGGTGCTAGTTTGTTATGAGAGGAAAACACTGTTGACTGGCCGATAAAGCCTGGCTAAACCAACAAACAAACAGACTGCATGTTCGAATTTCACCATCCTGCTCGCGACACGGAGCGCGGACAAACATCCCAAACTTGAACCGGTGCGTATGGACCTCATTGGACGGCAGGATATTCATTTGCAATTCGGAATATTTTGAGCTGCTTTTCCATATATATATATATATATAACTACTATCTTATAGAACTTATTCTTTAGTCACTTTGAGTTATGTTAATAAAAGATGCATGTCCTTCTCCTGACGGAGCAGCAGGGATGGAGGCGCATACTCGCGTACAATAATACAACAACGTCCATACAGCGCTGCGAATAGCGACTTCAACACATTTTTTATGACCATAGAAAAAAGCTTATTTTTTATGACAAAAAGAAAATACTCCGCCTATTGGAGTATCCTCATACACGTCAATTAGCACATTCCTTTTGCTGCATGCGTAATGCATAGGACTGTATAATGATATGTAATATCATATTATCATGCATGCATGATGCATCTCTCCGCCTTGCAATTGTTTTCTTGTGGGTTCGTCGTCGGAAATAATCCAGTGAGAATCTTAATGATCGAATGATAAAGCGCACATGGACATACAGTGCATGACTTAGGGCCCCCATTTTATATATTATTGCCATTCAACACGGAATTCTTGAGAGACCAATTAAGCATTAGCATCTGCCTCTCTCCCACCTTTGTCCTCACTATATACACCGCTATATACATGCTTCCTTTTTTTTCTCCTATAAAGAGCATGATCACATGTACATATCTACTTTTCCAATAATCACATGCCCACATCCAACAAAAAGGCCAAATAAACCAACAGCAATGACAAGGACTAATAAAAACTCCTCACATTCCTCTGGAGAAAGGAGTCGGAAACAACAATCCAAGCTGTTGTAAAAAAAAACAATCCAAGCACATTTTTCAAATGTATGTAAAACAAAACTCCAAAACCGACTCTTGAAGAAATCAAAGTTCATTTTCATATATAAATAGATGGAAATCCCCATGCTCCACTCATTTCACAAGTTAATCATGATCATTTTGACGAGAAAAAATAATCACAGTCATCAACACTAAGCCAACAAAAAAAGCAGCACTACTCACATAAACTCATCATAAGTACCAAAGCCAAAGAAAAAAACAAAAAGGGAAAAGAAGAGAAAAAGGCACCAAAAACGGCCACCAGCAGGCAGCTCCACTAATCGCTCTCACTCACTCCCAGACCGCGTCGCCACCTTGCTGCCTTTACTCCTCTCCCACCTTCCCCGTTTCAATTCGCTTCACTCCCCGCAGTCCCACTCGCCACTCCCTACCCCCCACCCCAAAGCTCTCTCTCCCCCTCCCTCTTCCGGGCTTCCCCTTTCCGTCCGCCATGGCCTCCTGCTAGCTCCCGTCGCAACGCCTCCCAGATCCCGGACGCAGCGCGCCACCCCCCGCGACGGCCGACGCGCGACATACATGGGAGGGTGCCACGCTAAGCCGCTCACCCACGACGCGGACGGCTCGCCGCCGCACGCGGCGCCGGCGACCCCGCCCCCGGGCAACGCGACCCCCGGGAAGAAGCACTGGGCGGTGTCCCCGTTCTTCCCGTTCTCCACGCCGAGCCCGAGCCCCGCGCACCACCTCTTCGGCGGCTCCGCGGCGTCGCCGCGCAAGTCCCCCGCTCCCGCGGGCTCCGCGCCCACCACCCCGGCCAGGCGGCTCCTGCGGCTGCCCTTCCCGCCGCCGTCGCCCGCCAAGCACATCCGGGCGGCGCTCGCGAGGCGGCACGGCCCGTCGCGGCCGTCCATCCCCGAAGAGGGCGGCGGCGAGGGGGAGGGCGGCGGCGGAGGCAGGGGCCTCGACAAGGGGTTTGGGTTCAACAAGGGGTTCGCAGCCAAGTATGACATGGGGGACGAGGTCGGACGGGGGCACTTCGGCTACACCTGCGCTGCCACGGTTAAGAAGGGCGCGCGCAAAGGGGAGTCCGTCGCCATCAAGGTCATCCCCAAATCAAAGGTGATGTGCAGCTTTCGCAATGCCCTACTCTGGCACTTTGTTTTGATGTGTAATATGCTGAATCTTGAGACACCACAGATACATGCTGTTTTTCTGGATTTTTTTTTACCATGTGGAAATTTTTAGGTGTTGTCGATTTGCTGATTTCTGCCTTGAGAATACTGATTTCGAACAAAAATACAAAATATTCATAGGATTCTGTGGTGACATTATATGGTTCTGTTCCGCATTCTGGATTGCAAACACCCTACTTCATGCTCGTGACTCCGTGAGGATGGTTGCTTGTTGTTCTGTGCATTCTGCCTTTTTGGGTACTGGGTAGCATATTAGCATATAGTAAGACTTTCTGCTGCAAATGTGCCTACTCTAAGTCTCTAATGATAAGATACAAATAGATCAGACATTATTTGTTACTTGGGAAACTTACATCTGATGCTTTGCAACTACCGATCCAGAAGACTTCAGTCACTTGGCATTATTGTTCTATCATATCTTTTGTGCAAACTGATTTAAGCTCCATTCTGGTACCAGAAAATACACAGTTGGTCTTCGTCTGAACTTGGCTCCTTACTTGATCATCTTTTTAACAACACCCACTGCTTGCTGTTTTGTTTTCTCAGATGACTACATCCATTGCTATAGAGGATGTCCGAAGGGAGGTTAAAATATTGAAAGCTTTGGCAGGAAACAAAAACTTGGTCCAATTCTATGATGCCTATGAGGACAATGACAACGTATATATTATAATGGAGTAAGTTTCCATGACCTGAGAAATTATAGTTTTCCTTTTACTTGATGTTTCATATTCTATGAGGCTGACCTCCATAGCATACATATGTAGTGTGTTATTATACCTCATCATTGGCACTCACAACTATTAACACTCACAACTACAGTTTTCCCCTTCTTTTCTAAGTAACACTCATAATGCGGGATCAAGGTTAGCATTTGTAATGTGTAACAAGGAACAGCTCTACATAATCTGGTACCAGTTTCATTTATTACTTACATGGTGAAAATGAACTTATATAGATGATATTTGTTGTAGGCAGTCAAGATACGCTTCTCTTTTCCTTCTAAACCTTGGTTGTAATATTCTAGAAAGGGTGAAAGCTTCCATATTGTTTACGTGCTGCCAAAGTTCATTACCATGGTCTACTGGGCCTTGAAAGATTCCTCCGTTAACTGTTTGCTTCGCATTTATATTTACGTTTTATACCCTGCTGATGATGGTCCTCGGATAGTTCCTTTTCTATATTTAGCATGCAATCCATGCTTTGTTCTTTAAAGATTCATGTTTATTAATTTAAAATCCTGTTGTGTAGGTTGTGCGAAGGTGGAGAGCTACTCGACAGAATACTTTCCAGGTAAGTTAAAGTGAACATAAAAATCGAAACAACAGATCAAAATATGTGCTTCAGTAGAACTGATGTTTTGCATTGGACTTAAGAGGTGGGAAGTACTCTGAGGATGATGCAAAAGCTGTCCTGGTGCAAATATTAAATGTTGTCGCTTTTTGCCACATTCAAGGAGTGGTTCATCGAGATCTCAAACCAGAGGTGATGTGTTTTTCTGCATCTCTACAGTTAGTGCAAATTCCATGATTTAAGCAGGTTTAGGAAATACTAACTTCTACTTTCTGTAGTCTAGAACTTTACAATTACCATAGCACTAGTGAACTAAGCATGTCTTACTTTATACTGTAATTTTAGTGTTTTCATTGTTTACTTTATCACGACTTCTAAAAAATATAATACCTGTTTTTCAGAATTTTCTTTTTACATCAAAAGACGAGAATTCCCATCTTAAGGCCATTGATTTTGGCTTATCAGACTTTGTAAAGCCAGGTATACTTTGTACTGGTCAATCTGTGTTATTTTCTGTATAAATTTTATTGGTCTCTAATTGTCTGGGCCAAAAAGGATTGTAGTATTCACAGGCAAAAAGATCTTGAATATGTGGTTCTAATATTTTATGCAGATGAGAGGCTCAATGACATTGTTGGAAGTGCTTATTATGTTGCTCCAGAAGTTCTGCATAGATGCTATAGCACAGAAGCTGATGTCTGGAGTATAGGTGTAATTGCATATATCCTTCTTTGCGGCAGTCGTCCATTTTGGGCACGCACTGAATCTGGCATATTCCGTTCGGTGCTCAAAGCTGATCCTAGTTACAATGAGGCACCATGGCCTTCTCTGACTCCGGAAGCAATGGATTTTGTCAAGCGATTGCTGTGCAAGGATCCACGTCGAAGGATGACTGCAGCTCAGGCTTTAAGTATGTTTCCGTTCATTTTATCTTGATGGCTTCTATTGAATATTGCCTTGTTGTGAGTATTCATGTTTTTTTTCTAGGTCATCCGTGGATCAGAAATTATAATGGCATTAAGCTGCCATTGGACATCCTTATATTCCGACTTATCAAAGCTTATATTCGTTCCTCATCTTTACGGAAAGCCGCTCTGAGGGTGAGTACTTCAAATTTTTGTTTTCATGGTTATAATGATGCCTCTTCAGTTTGGCAATTGGCACTTATCTTACCTCAAGTTTGTTCTACTGAAAGGCTTTTAAGGGTTGTGCTTTATACTATTTTTTGTTTAGAGTTGGTTGATGAATTTCCTGTTAAATATTGTTGAGTAATGCATGGTAGTACATTTCTTTTATGGTAAACTTTGTCAGGAATTTTTTATTGCATACATGTGTGGTTTAGCTATGTTGGGGCAACATTTTAGGGTATATTGCCCTTGATTTATTAGTTCCAAGAAAAGAAAAAAAGGTGCTTGGATGACTCTGTCGCCAATACTTTCATTTAAAAATCAATGTTGTGCTAACAAGCTTTACTAAGAATGGTCTTCCTATTTTTGTCCTAAGTCAAGCTACCTTTGTTTTGGCCAAGTTTATACAAGAAAATACCAATTAATCAATATTTATATTACCATATAAGCACCATTAGATTCATCATGAAATATATTTTCATAGTATACCTTTTGGTGTCATAAGTGTTCATAATCTTCTCTATAAACTAGGTGAAACTTGAAAAAGTTTGACTTAGAACAAAGCTAGTGTGACATTCTTTTTTGGGGCAGAGGTAGTATATCATTACTGTTCTTTCTAATGCCAGCAATCTGCAGTGCTTGATGTATTATTGAACTGCTACAGGCTCTATCAAAGACCTTAACAGTTGACGAACTTTTCTATCTGAAAGCACAGTTTTCTTTATTGGAACCAGACAGAAATGGATGCATCACTCTTGACAATATCAGAATGGTTAGCTCATAGCTACACCTAATTCCAGGCTGGTTAAGTCTGTCCTCATTATCTTGTGTAAACTTAATGACTCCTGTTGCTTCACACTGTTTAGGCCTTAACGAGAGAAGCTACTGATGCAATGAAGGAATCCCGAGTTCAAGAGATTCTTGTTTCGGTACATTCGTTTGATCTTATGTCACCGTTTTGTTCATACAAAAACTGTACCACTGTCTGACTCTATAACTGGATATTCTTTTCAGTTGAGTGCCCTTCAGTACAGAAGAATGGACTTCCAAGAGTTCTGTGCAGCAGCAGTTAGTGTGCATCAGCTTGAAGCATTGGATAGATGGGAGCAACATGCGCGTTCTGCTTATGAACATTTTGAGAAGGAAGGCAACCGAGCTATTGTAATAGATGAATTAGCTTCTGTACGTGATCTTCCTCCCTGTTCTCTTTCTAGCAGATCAGTTTGGTGGACCTTCCAATATTTCCTGACATATTAGTTATTACATGCTATGGAGTATTTCATTATCAATGAAGTTTACTTGTTCTCTCAGGAATTGGGCCTCAGCCCTTCAGTGCCACTGCATGTCGTTCTACAAGATTGGATCAGGCATACGGATGGGAAATTGAGCTTTCTTGGATTTGTCAAGTTGTTGCATGGCATGTCCAGCAGGTCCCTGTCAAAGATGAGATAGCTGTTGATAATCTCTAACGACAGCGCATGTTTACACCGCCCTTGCCCCTGTCGACTTGGTTCACAGGCAAATTAACAGGGCTAAAGAACCGTCGATTGGAGCTTGCATATCAAGGGCGTATGAGTTCTAGCAGCATCGGATCTGTCACTAATTTGAGTATAGAGCTATGTTTGTTGTTGTCTGCCTACTGATCATTTAGCCAATAGAAAAAGGAAAATCTCACCCATGTTTGCAACATGTGATGTTTCTAACAGTCTTAGATTAGGCGTCATCTTCTGTTGTCATTTTGGGAACTTTGTAATGCTTCTTTCCTGGAACTGCAGCAAGTTAGCTGCAGTCACCACTCACCAGGTTGGCGTTTGGAGCATGGACATATCACTTACTGTCATTGTCACTATGTCATTGTACCGACAGATGAATGTGCGTGATCGTTATGTGGTACGTCAGGTTCTCTTCGTGTATATATTGATGAGATGGAGCTGTGCCATTTTTTGAATCTCAGAATATTAGCGTGTCAATTTGCAACCTCTAATTGATTCTAGTTTCTACATCTTAGAATAAACTGGAATATGTGCAATAAAATAAGTATTACTTTTTACTGAATACATGAAAATGTTTAGAATGATATGGAATATGGCAATAAGATTGTATTAATTTTGACAAGACATAAGAGGAGGTGATTTTATTTCTTTTTTTTTAGAATTTCAGAATTTATTTATATAAAAATAATTCATAACATTCTTCTTTTTACCATGTTTCACCCTTTAGCGCCAGAAATCAGTGCTTGTACATACTATGTTGCTAAGCCATACCAATGTCATGGCTTATTTGTAATTATAATAAATGAAAATTTACTCCATTTGTTTCAATTTATAGTCCATTTTTAGCTTTGTCATAAGGCAAATTTCTCCAAATTTGACCAATTTATTGAAAAATGCAGTGACACCTACAACATCAAATTAGTTTCATTAAACTCTCCATAAAATATATCTCAAAAGTGCATTTATTTGAATTTATAGGTGTCAATATATTTTTGTTTTTTTTTTCTAAAAACTTCATCAAAATTAGAGAAGCTTGACTTATAATGATAAATCTAGAGTGGATTATATTTGCAATGGAGTAGTCATTAAATAGTTTTTTTAATTGATTTTGCTTTTCCCCCCCTTTTTGAAAGCATTGGTGACGATCTATTATTCCTCTCATCTGAGCCGTCCATTATGCGTCGAACACGCCGATTCAAATGCCCTTGAGCTTTGAAATCTGGATTTCGAAATTCGAAAGCAGAGTGAAATCCCCCCCCCCCCCCGGCAAACGTTTTGAACTTCGAAGGAAACCTGCTCTGCTCGCGACAGAGAGGCAAAACGTTTTCACCACGCCGCAATCTGCCCCATTCCATTCCAAAGCGAACAGGGAAACCTGCTCTGCTCGCGACAGAGAGGCAAAACGTTTTCACCACGCCGCAATCTGCCCCATTCCATTCCAAAGCGAACAGGGAAGGCGGGGGCAGGAGGCAATCGGAGGGGGGCGAGGAGGAGGCAAAAGCTTCTCCACTTGAGCTGCGGGATGCCGGTAACGCGTAGGCGCGCCGCCGCCGCGGCGGTGGTGCAGGTGGAGGAGGAGGAGGAGGAGGGGCGCGTTGCGCCGATCGACATATCCTCTGATTCGGAAGCGGGGTCAGAGTCAAGGTCGGAGGATGAGGAGGATTCAGAATCGGAGGAAGAGGAGGATACGAGCGACGAGGACTTTGTCGACATCAGCGACAGCGACAGCGAGGCCGGTGATGGGGAAGGCAGCGGCGAGGAATGCGAGGAGGAATCGGAGGCGGAGGCGGATGCTGAGGCTGAGGTTGAGCAATTGGGCGCGGATCGGAGCGAGGTCGCCTGCAACAAAATCACTAGTCTCCTCAGCAGTAATATCCTCGATCCCCTCTATCTCGTTTTAATGGGTTGCTGTTAAGACTGTTCATCAGATATTCAGAAGTAAGTTACATGTAGGCGTTTAGGTGACAATCTCGAATGGGGGAAGTGCGGAAGTTGGAACGAGATTAGGTGCACGTAGAGAACTAAGCAGAGCTGTTTTGGGGGCATTAAAAATTTAGCATCACTGGTGTGGTTCTATGATTTAATGCAGCTGCAGCGTGCCAATCTGATCGTCCGATGACAGGATAAATTTACAGATACTTCATCTGACTAGTTTTTGAAGCTTATATATGTATCCATTCTAGTGATGTGCAACAGAAACAGTTTAGACATCTTAAGGAAGTGACCCCCAAAATTGTTACACTGTGTGTGCGACAGAAACTAGAAGGAACATGCTAATTGATTGTTTGGCTTCGGGGATTATGTGCTTATCTCTAGCTGCTTGGTAGGCCGTAGATTGTTGCTAGTACTGGTAGCTCATGTCAGTCACTTTTTGTTTCTGCTTCCGCTCCTACAGCTGTTCTATCGAACCATAATTTATTTTTTCTTATTGACAGCTCAAAATACATCCAATGTAAATTGGTTTTCAAACGGAGCTAGATGCAATCCTTGTCATGTTCGAGACTAAGTTGAGCATGTCTTGTAATAATACTGCTAATTTCGATTTACTTCAGTGGGTTTCAGGAACGAACAGAATTGGATCATTTGTTCTATGCTGTTTTCTTCCTACATGAACTGAAAGGCAGGATTTTCCTATAGGTGGGAAGAGTCTGGAGGGTTTAAAGTTGGCGGAGTGCAAGGCATATTTGAAGAAGAATGGTCTTAGCCAAACTGGGGGCATAGACACTTGTGTGGACAGAATAGTGCTCCACTGGAGGTTAGATATGATAGATCTTTCCTACTTCTGAGTATATTCAGCCATTTGACGCTCGTTTAGTCAGACTTCAATTTAAGAGAACACTAGTTCCTGTGTCATTTGTTTGTTCTCAATATCTTTTATTTTTATTTTTACCTGGCTTTGTTATGCACAGAGGGTTCACCTAGGTGATTTTTTTTGAAAGGAGATTACCTCTGCTTTTAAGAAAGCAATAAGAGTTTTACATACTGGTGATACTAGTTTACGATTACGCGAAAAGACAAAACAGATAGCATCCATGCCACACTACTTAAAGGTCTAGACAGGGGCGAAACGCTATAACAGGATAGCAATTAGCAACATCTGAATTAAAAGTTTGAAGCCGATCGCGCTTGCTGATCCATGTCTCTAGGCCCTCCACCATCTTAGACAAATGTATCTTGTTGGCGTCCTTCATAAGCTCTCTCCACATCTGCAGAAAGGTGATTGCGTTGTAAAGTACCACATCAGGATTTGAAGGAAAAACTTTCTGAATAGCCATCTTGTTCCTATTTTTCCATATTGCCCAGGTTAGGGCTGCAAAGAAAAATAACACTAGTCTCCGAGGGACTCCCAGCCTCCTTGGCATCCAATCATACAGGAAATTATGTTTTGACGTTGGAAAATCATGCCACCCAAAAGCATCTCTAATACAACACCACAAGTACTGTGAAAAGTAACACTCAAAAAATATGTGGTTAACAGTTTCAGGTTTGCCGCAGACGCAACAGAGGGGGCTCCCCTGCCACCCTCTCTTTTTCAGTGCTACTGCAGCCTGTAATTTGTCATGAAACATTTGCCAAAGAAAAAACTTTGATTTTAAGCGAAATTTTGCTCTTCCAAATCATAATACATAACTGGTCTCTAACCCCCCCATGAGTTATTAAGTGATATAAAGATTTGGTCGTGTAATGATTTGATTTATCAAGCACCCATTTTACTGAATCTTCCTTAGTAGAATCGAACTGAACACCCTCTAGAATCTGTTGTAGCGCTGTCCATTCCTCAATCCAAATTCCTTGCAGATTCCTTCTAAAGGTTGTCCCACTCATCACCATCCCAAATGTCACTCACCAGATCTTGCTGATTTTCATTGATCTCATACAAAGATGCAAACTGAATTTTCAGTGGCATGTCCCCAACCCACGAGTCATGCCAAAATCTGATCTTATCCCCTCTACAAACCTTGTATTCTGTGCCCCACTTGAATAAATGTTTTACTTTATGCACTCCTTTCCAAAACTGAGATGACCCCTTTTGATTAGAGCAAAAGAAATTGCCTGAATGCATATACTTGGCTCTGAGTAATTTACACCACAGCTCCTCTGACCCAGCCTCAATTTTCCAAATCCATTTGGTTAAGAGACACTGGTTCATGATTTCAGTGTTTATAATCCCTAATCCACCATGGATTTTGGGCTTACAAACTGACACCCATTTTGCCATATGATATTTGAAGATGTCATCTGCTCCTCTCCAAAAGAATTTAGATCTGATTGTATCCATCTTTGAATGGAGACCCTTTGGCAGAAAATAAAAACCCATAACATACATGGGCAGGCTACTCAAACAAGTATTATTCTGAATTAGTTTCCCCCCTGAGGTCATGTACTTGCCTTTCCAGGGATCTAAGCTTTTGATCATCTTGTTAAGAATCCCTTGGAAGGCACCAATACCTAACACCATGTCAGATATTGGTATGCCCAAATACTTCATTGGCAATTCTCCCAACCTTCAGTTTAACATGTTGGCTTTCCTTTCTTTCTCTTCCTGACTAAACCCAAAGAGGATCACTTCACTCTTATGATAGTTGATCTTTAAACCAGATAACCACTCAAAACAATATAGTATCACTTTCAGGTTTGTAATTGAGCTGTCTGACCCATCTATCATTATTACAGCAGCATCTGCATACTGAATGTGTGAAATACCACCTGGGATCAAATGCTCAACCACTCCCTTGATCAAGTGCCTGTTGACAGCCTTGTCCAACATAGCACTTAGAGAATCAGCAACTAGGTTAAATAGAAGGGGAGATAGGGGGTCTCCCTGTCTTAGCCCTCTCAAAGTTCTGAAGTAAGGTCCCCTAGTGCCATTAACATTGACACAGACCTGTCCCCCCTTGACAGTTTGCATTACCTAATTAATCCACCTAACGGGGAAACCTTTCCCTTTTAAAACTTCTTCAAGGAAGTCCCATCTCACCCTGTCATAGGCCTTCTCAAAGTCTATTTTTAGAATTAAGCCCTGCTTTTTCTTGTGGCTCAGCTCATGTAATACTTCATGAAGAATAACCACTCCTTCTAATATGTTTCTCCCTTGAATAAACCCAGTTTGATTAGGACCAATAACCTCCTTGGCTACTGGGGTGAGCCTGCCTGTGAGAACCTTAGTGAAAACTTTATAATCAACATTCAGCAGACAGATAGGCCTATATTGCTTGATAGTAGCTGCATCTTTGACTTTGGGGACTAAAGTGATCACTCCATAATTCAATCTTTTAATGTCCAAATCGCCATTGTAGAAGTCTACAAACATTTTGTAGTAGTTGTCTTTGATCTTATCCCAGAATTGTTGGAAAAAACTAGCCCCATATCCATTGGGTCCTGGTGCAGCATCTTGTTTCATATCAAAAACTGCTTGCTTAATCTCCTCCATGGTGAAAGCTTTCACCAGTTGTTGACAATTTTCATCAGTCACTTTTCTATCTTCAGACCAAAAATTAGATTTCAGTCTAATCTGTCTATGTGAGTCATAATGTCATTCTGATTTGTTAACTGTCCTTGCTCAGATTCCATAGAGAAGATTGATCCCTTCCTTCTTCTCCCATTAGCAAAATGATGAAAGAATTTAGTATTGGAGTCTCCTGCCAGAAGCCAGTGCTTCCCTGCCCTCTGCTTCCAGTAGCTCTCTTCCATCAGATAGACTTGTTCTAAATCCCTTTCGACAGCATATCTATGTTCCCACTCCTGAGGCAACAGATCTCTAACTTCAGCTTGCTTATCAATCCTTTGCAGCTCCTCCTTGAGCTCAAATTTGATGTGCCTAGATGTTGTAGCGTTGCGACATTTTTCAGAACTTGACACGGATTGACACATGTAATATTTATTACCCGTATCTTATAGGTTCAAAGATGGGGACCCTGAGAGAATTTATCCTCGGTCATCCTTCTGTATCAACTGTAAAGGTGTGTTCTTAGTTGGAAATAAACTCTCATTTAACTGCATAGCAAATTATCCATGGCAATAATCATAGTCAGCGCAGGTGATGTTTGTAAGGACGATGCCGTCTTATTCAAACAGAAGGTGTACGAGAAGAGGTAGCCATCTGCATTTGCATAGTCTAATCTAACAGCCTCTTTGAAATAGTAACCTAAACTTCCATTCGGATAACTTCGACAGTGGAAAAAGGCATGCAAAATGCATAGGTAAGCGTATAGTAGCTGGCAAAGTCATCAAGGAAAGTTATGGTAAACAAAAGCAGCAACACACTTTCACGGTAAAGTTTGATTCAACAGTTTTGTACTACTGTGTCATTTGAGTCTTGTGATCATTTACAGACTACATTACTTGTTCAATTCAATAGATTCAAGTGTTTTGGAGCAAAGGAGCTGGGAAATTACCACCTTTGCATCTGTTGCTTGTCAAAGGGCGCAACCTATATAGAATGGTGACTTTTCGTCAGGTAACAAGAGCTCTCCATATTGTTACTCTGTTTTCTACCTGTCACTTCGTGTTCTTTCTGCTAGTCTTTTATATAATAAGAAACACTCAGATCGTCTTCAGGAGTTGTAACCAGTGTGATGATACAATTCTCATTCTCAAATGTAATAGGGTAATTCAACTGTCCAAGTGTCCAGCATCAGTACTGGCTGTACATTGGAGGTTCATATTTACAGTTCTTTTTCTATCAGTCTGTGTGCTCTGTATACAGTAATGGAACTACTGGGAACTCTATGTTTCTAAAATAAAAGAAGCATTTTTCATGAATACGAATGCATCCTGTCAGATATCCAAGATGACTATCTCCACATTTCCCAAACTGTGTTTTTTATTCATATTCTCTCCCCCTAGTCGTTTATCAATAGAACTGGGATGTAGTATCGATTTTATGCAATTCTCATATTTGAGGGTATCTACACATTTCTCAAATGATGGTTTGTATACCAACATTGTCCATGGGATGGCCTTGTGTGATTTTGAACTTCACATCATTTATTTCTCTTATATCTAGCCTTGGGCAAATGAAGTAGAAAGGCTGAAGGTTCTAGAAGAGAAGCACAACAGAGGGGACGAAGCAAGGCGTGTTCGTGCTTTGAAGAGACCTAATTCTGCTGGAAACAGTAATTTCCATTCTCAAGATTGTTTGCGCAATCTCTGCATTAATTTAATGCTGAACTTGGTCTTCTTGTCCATACTTGTTTGAAATCTCATGCCACTGTTACTGATTGACGGTATTGCATATTTAAGTTCATATTTAATCACGTTCATCAAATGTGACAGGTTATAGATTTCTTGTTTGGTGTTAATACCTTGCTACTAGTTTATAATGAGTTTTCTCATTTTGCACAAAACTACAGTGGGATAGTTACATGTGAACATTTTTTAGTTATAGGAGTATTTAATATTATTAGGAAGTAAAATTTAATGTTTGGGTTGATGTATTAACTGGCATTGGAACCTTTACAACTCATGATATGGAATATTAGTAGGCAGCTGTATCTCATATGGAATCAATTAAAATTCTGAATCACAGGGCTGGAGAACAGCATGGGCAGTAAAATGAATAACATGTTTAATTTCTAGGCTCCCTGAGTTCAAGAAGAAAAGTAGTATTCATAGACTTCTTCTAAGGAACATTACATCTTTCTAGATTCCTGGAACAACTCATGCATGGTATTGTCTACTTAGCAGAACAGATGAGCTCCGGGTCTCTATTGCCTTGTTTTGTTAAGCCATTGAGTCAAGCTGCAACACTTAATGACGATTTTACTCAATCTCGTTTTCTTCAGTTCTGTGTTTGTTCTACCTAACAGTTTCTATTCCATTTTTTTGTCTTTCCTATAGCTCTTAAAGGCAAGAAAAAATTGGACAAAGAAAAGCACAAGTCTCGATCTGAAAGGCCTCGCAGCCAATCCAATATTATTGAATTGGATAAAGGCAAAAAACGACCTGCACAATCCTCCAAGTTTGATCTGCCTAATAAAAGATCTAAGAAAGAAGGGTCCCAAGTGCCTTCTGGGAAAAAAGCCACTGGTGGTAGGAGGGCAAAGAAAAATCGTGCCTGCCAAGATAAGAACATTTCTACTGGCCATAACAGTTCTCTATGCAATGACAACAGGGAGAAGAGTCATGCTACCTTTCAGAAAAAACTGTCACGTTGAGCCTCTTAACAAGGGCCCATCTAGCTCAAAAGTTGGGATGAACAAAAGGACGACTGGTTCTGGGTGGAACAGAATTGGTGGCACACAGAGTCAATTAGAAGGAAGACACATAACTCCAGCTGCGCTTGTTGAAGCAAATCATGGAAATTTTGTTTTAGTACAGAATGCTTGTGTTGAGAGGCCCCAATGGCCTACTCAATTGCGTGAAGTTGCTCACGTTTTACTGCCTCGCCCCAGTGGCAGCCATCCACATGTACTACCCAAGGCTACAATGGGTCTCCGACATCAAAATGGAGCAATGGCTGGTGTGCATGCACCTGCATATTTCAGGGGACTTCCACCCAATCAACAGAGGGTAGCATTTCCTTCAGCCAACATGCCACAAACTGTGTACCATCCTCATCCAGAAGAAGCATACGTTGTGCCACACTTAAGATATCCTAGTGAGAGTACTGGTTTCCGTCGATAAGACAGTCTAGTTGATGCCAGCTGCATTTTGATAATTGCATTGGTGGTTAGGCATGTGGTCTTGGTTTATTTCCATTTCATTGTTATGAGTATGTAAAACAAAAAATTCTGCACCTCAATTAAAGGACTTGAGCCCTGTTCGATTGGAGGAATCTGGATGAATTTGTGAGAGGAAAACACGGTTCCGGATAAAAAAAGAAGCGGATCAAGCCGGGTTTAAGGGCACGCGAACGGGGCTTGATTTTCTTCGCATTTGTGCAGGATGTGATGGAAATGCAGTGCTACCATTGACTTGATTGGGTGGCCACCGTGATTGCCACGTGAGGGCCTTCTGGTACATGCATAAGAATATAAGATGGCTAAGAAAACAATACCAGGGCTTTGTGTACTTCAAATGGGGAAGGTTAGGAAATATCACTATCTTTTTGTTGATTGAGTTCGTAGCCGGAATTGTCCTGCAAGATGAAGCGAGATATTCCCAGAAGGGACATAGGTTTCTCATGTACTATGCACACCAATGATGGTTTCTGAAATTGAGCTAGTAATCTGAATGAAATCCAAACCGACACAAATTTTGCTTAGCACCCTACCTTCTTAGGGAAATACAGCAGTCAGTCAGGACAAACCAGACACTGGGAATTATTATTTCCAGTTCTGCAAATCCATCGTTACCAGTATATAACCTAAAATGAACGATTTTTTTAATTGATAAAACCTATATTGAACGATTGTTTTACCTAAACACCTGACCAGGGCACATGATCTTTCTTTGTTCGACGCTCGTTTCCTGTGCTGTGATAGAAGGAATTTTGATGGAACTAATTACACTAACCCCCGAAAGTTTTGCGAGGAGATCCGCATGCAAACACCCGTGTCACCAAGGCACTAACCAAGGAAATGGTCGGCGGCGTTGAGTTGGGCGCCGTAGCTACACATCCCTACCTGGAACGGCATCAGGTTTCCTGTCAGTTCTCCATTTGCTTCTGTCATCCATTTGCCGCTGTGGCTGTAAAAACCTCTGCGCCGCGTATCCCATGTTTGACACTTCTCCCCCCGTTTAAGAGACCGTATCTTTTGAACAGGATAGACCGACGAACAATCCAAGTAGGAGTATCTTCGTATATAAAGGGCCTGTTTGACTGAGATCTATTTGAAATTCAAATCGTGGTAGCAAGAGCAGTAGAGCACCCTAACTTAAAATTCGGTGAGTTGGTGTGTGGGCCGAGGCAGCTGGTTTGCCGGGACAAAAATCCCAATCAGGCCCGGTGCGCTCGGCGTCACACAGTAGTTGAGGTACAGCGACGTCAAATCGGAGCCATTATTCCGGCATGTTTTTGTGAAGCACGAAGCTCTCGCAGGTCGTCTCGCCGCCGTCGTCGTCAGGCTGCTCCTGCCTCGCCTCGCCTCGACGCCTTGGGAGTTGGGGCCCCGGGGCCCGGCCGGGCTGTGGTGTGTAGACAAGTCGTCGGTGTGAGGTACTGAGGTGTACTGTACGTGCTGACTGCTGACTGCCCGTGCCCGTCGTGGGCGCATGCAGGTACACGAGCGGCACGCATACCATACCTCTGCCTGTGTCTGTCGGCTTGTTGAATTTTCGTCGACGCTGAGCCGCTGCTCTGACGAATCGCGCGGCTAGTTTCACGCGGGCACAACCAACACCAGCCCAGCCTCGGTCGTGGATGCGAGTCAAAGCATATCATGCTAAATACGCACGCTGCAGAATTACACTCTATTATATCGCCTAAACGGCTAAACCAAACATATCTAGATTTTCTGAGTGTGTGTGTGCGTGCGCAATTCAATCCAGACTCCAGGGTTGGACGTGGTAAAAGAAAAGCATATTGAATCCTTCTGCTGTCTTAAAAAACTGACGGTCTATGTGTCGGCATTAATTGGGAAATACTAGCTCGTTGCTTCGTCCATCAAATAGAGTAGAGTACTTTGTTTGGGATTGGGCATCCCGGTTTGGTGATAAACTGATAATTGTCCATGACCAATGCGATGGTTTCGTAGGACAAGCAATTAACGAAGGTGTCTGGGTGGGCACCTGCACACCTGCACACCTGCATGAGTTTGATGACAGGCTGGGCTGGGTTGGCGATACAGTCTTGTAGTTCTACCAACGGACTACTAGCTTCGTGTGCTCCAGCTCCTCGCCTGCTGCCATTTAGCCCAACTCCAAATTACAACGTGGGCATCCCGGTTTTTTTATAAATGATAATTGTCCATGACCAATGCGATGGTTTCGTAGGACAAGCAATTAACGAAGGCGTCTGGGTGGGCACCTGCACCTGCACCTGCACCTGCATGAGTTTGATGAGAGGCTGGGCTGGGTTGGCGATACAGTCTTGTAGTTCTACCAACCGACTACTAGCTTCGTGTGCACCCTACTAATATGTATATGCATCCTACTAACTTTAGCTCCTGAAATGAGACACATCCATATAAATAATCGCCCTATTCATTTGGCTTATAAACCATACTTTTTTAATCATCGAATAGTATTTTTTTCTCACAATAAATAACCTAATAGTACTTTCAGCCAGGAGCCGGACTTATCACTCAAGCTAACGGAGAACAGCTGAGATCTGAATTGCTACACTGGCTAGGCTATCCATATAGGCAATCTGTCGCGGCGCTACGCGCACTTTGATTTTCCTGTCCCGTACTCCACCCAACACAAGGAATCGACGGTACAGTAACAGGTGCTGTAAAGCTTTGGAACAAGCAAGGAATGAGCTGCTGCTGCTGCGTCTATTGCCCTCTTGGAACGATGACACGAGAGGGGGCCGTGGCGCACTGCCAGGTACTCCTACTCCTTCCTAGTACTCATGTGCATGTGCGAGCATATCGTGCTGTAGGGGGTACGCTGTCAAAACAGATCGCCTACCTGTGGGACCAAAACAGATCGCGTCAACCTGTGGGAGCCTCAGCCTAGTGCCCTAGTCTATATATTTTACTGTTTGCCTGCCCGACCGGATTGGACCCGACGTCCGACCACAGTCTTTCCCTTTCCTTTCCCACACTCGGCGGATCCACGCATTGGATTGGGGGTTTCATTTTTTGTTCGTGTTCGTGGTCGGGTCCCTTCTTGAGTTCTTGGTCCCGGCTTCCGTGTAGCTTTGCAACCAGAAATTTTAGGCCCCGTTTGGTTCACGGGATTTTCACGGGAAAATCAAAGGAAATAAAACCGATAAAGGATCGGTGGTCATCTTATTGGAGGAAATAGCAAATCCTTTCCTTAGGAATACTGTAGCTAGATACTGATTTCATAGGAAAATTCATCCGTCCGATCGATTTCCTCTTCCTTTGCGGAAGCTGTGAGGCAATTAGTTATTTTTTTTACTATGTTATAAATTCATGTGTTTCAAACATAAATTTTCTATTCGTGCTTTAAAATCCCGATTTTTCACTTTTCAGATACCTTAAAAAACCGCTTTTTTCCTATCCCTAGGGTATTCCTTCGTTCAAACAGGCCCTTAATCTGGTTACGGGACACTGGAATGCGAAATCCTATTGTATTCCTCGTTTCCGTCCAGAAAATAATATAATTATAGGATCCGCAGGTTAAGGTAGCTCAAGTTTGATTAAATTTATAGCAAATAATATTAATATTTATGTCTTTAAATAAATTTATTATGAAAATATATTCTATAACTAATCTAATGATACTAATTTTGTATTATGAATGTTAGTATTTTTTTATATAATTTATCTCAAAATTTAAACTGATTAACTTCTTGAGAAGCGAGAATTGCATTTTTTTTTGAAGGGAGAGAGTATTTGATAAATGGTGAGCTATGCGTGCCTGTCATTTGATATATTTTCACTTCAAAGGTGTAGGTCTTGGTGGCATATAAATGATTGTTGTCAAGTTGTTAGTGAACAACCCTAGCATCAGTAGAGGGCTATCATGCCGCTGACTAACATGTGCGGAGTAAAATTTCCACATAGTAGGCTAGTAGCCAACCTAAATTTGAACTTTGAACCCTCACTCTCTATCCAGTAACCTCCTAATGAAATCCAGGGGGCTGTCTAGTGTGTCTCTTCACCGTCGTTCTCTCGTTTATAGAATACTAACCCTAGTATACGATGAGTGCAGGCAGGCAGGCCATTCCCAATAGACATTATATCATGTCACACTCTCCAACGTTAACATGTCATATAAATATAAGCACTCACTTGGTCCTAAAAATTTGATACTCCAGCAATAATAGGATGAAATAGTTGAGATGTGAAATTACCATGGCACCCTATTAATTTTTCTCTCGAATACGCAAAAGATTTATGTACCATTTAAATTAAGATAAAAGAATTTAAACATGCGAACGTCGCGCTTCAAGTGAGCGCCCTAGGAGGTCTAGAGCACCCTGTTAATTAGTTGTGGTTGCCTTGTTTATGAGGAGCCTACGTTTGGGTAAGTGGCAGGGATTAATGGTTACATGCTATGAATTAGGATAACTTCTGAAACTAACGAAATAGGACCCACTAGATTGTGTAAAGTAACATCATTTGTGGGACAGGTTTTAGCATACCAAAGGAGTTCGTGGGATTAGGCATCATTAACACCAGGTTTATGAATGGCACACTTCTGTTAAAATGGGTGTAGAGGATATATGTACAATTGCAAAAAGAAAGATGTATGATGCAATTTATTAAAAAGCAAAATATCTGAAAAATAAGAGTTCTGCCGTGAGCAAAGGGATAAGGGTTCGGAGATCTAGAAGGATTTGCACAAAATCAGGCATAACTTTGAATTAGAGCTATTTTCAAAGTCAACAATAGCAAAACACATCCTGTTTTGGGAGGATGTGTGGCTGCGGGATATCCCTCTGAAACTAGCTTTTCCCAAAGTATATGACTATTGTAGAATAATAAGAAAGCTTTAGTTAGTGAGTGTTGGGATGGAGAAGACTGGGTGTTTGATTTTTGAGAAATTTTGGAACTAAATGGGTTATAGAGTGGGAGCTGCTATTAGAGAAATTACAAGAAATAATTTTAAATGATGAAGAGTATATAGTTATATGAAAATTAGAGAAATGAGGGGACCTACTAAAAAATCAATATATAGGTGGAATTTTTTTGGATAGGTTGTGTGTAACAAAATGCCACTAAAACTATATAGGTTTTTATCTCCTGACCATGCAGGACAAGATTCATAAAGGGCAACGCATAAAAAGAAGTGGAAAGGGTCCTTTTCTTTTTTATTTTAAAGAGTGGCATCCGATGCATAAAGGAAGCGCTTAGTTGGGACAAGACCCCATCGAGTCTTAGAGATTTCTTTGAAGGGCGTATTCCCTTGGGGAGTAAAAAATAGTTGGGACAAGGTTTTTATCCGCGTTTATGATCAATATTTATATCCTTATAGACTTACTATGTAAATAAGTAATATATTATATAATTAATCTAATGATATTGTATGTATATCCAGTGGGAGAAATGGAGATCATACCAACAATTGTATCCAACTTAAACATGCTACGGATTTGAACACATCGTTGCCCGTTATTCTTGACTGTTCCTAGCACAAGTTGCCGATCGATAACATTATAGGCATAGCACACACAAATGTGTTTTTGGGCAAAGCAGGAGCTGTTTGTTGGTGTTGACCCGCGGCGAAGAAAAGAGAAGATTCACAGCTGGCAGGCAACCTACTAGGGTTCTACGAGTACCGATGGTCAAGCGCATGCATCATCAGTTCCTTGCATGTCTGCCTTTCTCACGTCACGCACGTCGAGAATCAACATGAAAAGATGTCCGTCTGCTGATTTTCACTGAGGCTTCAAATCACGCAGGAGAAAATTCAGATGAGAATCCAAGCCTCCAAGGCGAGGCAAAACGGCATGCAAATGGGTGATGCATCTGCTTGCATCATCACATTACAGTACAAGAGAGAGTACAATATTTTACTCAACATTAATTTGCACTCTGATCACCACACCAACACCAGTTGCTCTCACCCATGCAGTTTTTTAAGCCCGGGAATGTCAGGTCGCCCAGCTTATCCTACGCGGATTATTCCATCCATCCTGCGCAGTGGCTGGCCTAAACCTAAACCCAAATGCATGCATCAGTTGTGACAGTTTGCAGCGCTAGAAAAGCATTATAGTACGGCAGGCACAGCTCAGGACATGGGCAATTTGCCGCGAAACCCATCTTGCAGCATCCCAAATATGCATCCCAATGGAATCTCCACACAGTGTTCCCATGTTGGTGACCTGCACCGACCTGATTTTAAACACGATCCGACGCAGGGTTTCGATAGCTAATCCGGACACGTGTCGCGATCTCACGGGCGCGAAAACGGGATCGGACCGCCCTCGCTGATTCGAAAGATACCCAACTGTCTGTCTGATCGAAGGGCATGGGACGAGAGCCAGGAAAATAACCGTATGGATCGGAAGAGAGGAAAATATACTGATTTTTTTGTGCAAAAATCCTTAGAATACCACCGTGTACGTACATATCTACACTTGCTACTAGTATGGAAACCTTTGTGGTTCACATGAAACGAAAGAATACGCAGCAAAATTACAAGGAAAAAAAAAGCTGGGGAGACAGGTAAAACGCCCGGCGACGACGCTTTCTCTCCGGCGGCAATTTCTGCATCGAGCATCGTCGTCAAGATTTCTGGACGGCGCGGTGCATGCATGCATATGCATGCGAGGGTGTGTACGGCCGGATCATGTCGGCCTGCCGCCGCGATTGGAGTTGGAGGAGGAGCCGGAGTGGCTGCTGCTGCTGCCCCCGAGCTTCCGGCTGATGCTGTGGATCGCCGGGTTGGAGCGGAGGTAGCCGAAGAGGCTGTTCCGGTGGAACGGCAGCGGCGTGGTGGTGGTCGTCCGGCGCCGCACGTCCTCGGCGGCCGCCCGGTTCATGGCGTACGGCATGTCGCTGGCCGACGCCGTGGAGCCTCTCCCCTTGCGCATGGACGCGCTGCCGTCGCCGCCGCCGCCGCCGCTCCTCAGCTTCTGGGACTGGCCGTGGGGGTGCGAGAACGACGTGGAGGAGGAGGACGGCAGCATGGTGTACTTGAAGAGCGGGTCCTTGCTCCCGCCGCCGGTGGCGCGGCCCTCCGACGCGCTCCGGAAGAGGAACAAGTCCTTGAGCCGCCACTTCTTGCTCCCGCTGCCGCAGCCCCGCATCATGGAGGTTCTTGGGGACGGAGGGGACGAAGGGGACTCGTCCTCGTCCAGGCCATCGCCGCCCCTGAACGGGGACAGAGACCGCGTGGCCCTCCTGCTCCTGGACGAAGCCGCTGCCGTCGAGGCAGCGCCAGCGGTGGGTCTGCCGGACCTGCCTCTCTCCAACGGCGCCTCCGCTCGATGATCCCCGCCGCGCGCGCTGCCGGTTCTTCTCGGGGAGCACCGAGGGCCGCCGGCGGAGGCGGAGTAGAAGGAGGAGGGGGAGCTCGAGGCGTCGTGGACCAGCAGAATGCTCGGGTGCGGCGTGTTCAGCGGCCGGATCCTGCCGCCCTCGAAGAGCTCGTCGGCCGCCGCGAGGATCGGCGTGGCCTCCTGCAGCTGCCCGCTGAATCCGAGCGTGAAGTCGAACGTGGCCTCGTCGCCGCCGTCCGCCGAGGCGGCGCCGTCCCCGGCGTAGCTCGCCCTGGACGGGCTCGTCGGGGCGCTGGAGAAGAAGTAGCAGTAGGCCGGGAGGTGGTCGCCTCCGGCGATGGTCGCCGCGGTTCTTGGGCTGCACGGTGCGCTTGGCGCCATGACCGGCACCACCACCTCCATCTCGAATCCTCGATCGCTTCTTCGCTTTGCTGCTCGTGCTCCCTCTCAACTTCCTCCTATGTCTTTGCTTGCTTGCTCCTTTAAAAGGCCTTGGGATTTTGTTATGGTAGAGTGACGCTTTGGCCTGGGACGTACTAGTTGTACTAGACTGGTATATATAGAGAGAGAGAAAGGTTTTCCTACTCCAACCGAGGAAGGCAGAAGGAAGCTCGATCTATCGATCGGGTAGAGACATCAGCCATGTGGCCGTATTCGCAACTTGGTTTGAATTTTTCGTCTTATTTGGTATGCACTTGGTACCAACTGAACAGTTTTCGTTAGTTATTTTTTACCTACATTTAATGATTAAAAATTGATGTGATTAGAGTGAAAAAAACTTGATGTAAACTAAACAAGGCCTTGGTTTTGTTTAATGCACTTGATATGAACAGTCCGTTATGAGATTATTAGTTTGTCAAGTACACACGCACACCCTTTGTTGTCATCCATGCGGCCGCGCGCGCTTGCAGATTAGGACTGTCAACTGTGGGAGACGGTAGGTAAACGCATGGCATGCATGGTGAGAGGGCTTGTGCTGAAGAAATAGGGAACGGTGATTAAACAAAACAATAATTAAATCAATGGTGCATAAGAAATTATCAATCAATGGGGGAAATTAAGAAATTCTATTGGTTGTCTAAATGGTCGATTAGCCCGTCTGCACATCTTAAACTAGCTACACAATGGTATGTCGTTTTCGTTTAGTCGGTCATTTATCATGTTTAATCAGTTGTTTAGCCCTTTTCAAAGGACGTCTAGCTTATATAGACTGATTGATACAGCTCTGGTTCACTGGTGGGTCAATTTTTTTTTTTTTTTGCTCCGGCTCCATGAGCAGCTTCACTGCTGGAGATAAAACGTACCATTTAAAAAAAACATTTGGTAAAACTACTTCTCATAGTAAATGTGAGAGTATTTCATCTCAATCGGTCAATCCAATACTCACCCCTTGAGAGAGCGGGTTTTAAGGTGCTTCACACTTGAGGAGTTATTTTATTTGAACCTATTTAGCAAAAAAAATAGCTTTAGTAAAACGGGACATAAAACTCTGAGAAATTCTAGCACTACTCGTGAAGAAATGGAATGGCGAAAATCATAGACCACCAGGACATATATAATTTGATTAAGAATTTCATCACATCAATTTAACAAGGCAAGGTAGAATTTGATTTACTTCTCACCGTGAACTAGAGAAAATTCATAGCGATAATGCTTAAGTCAGGGCGGTCGTCCGTCCGGACGGCTTCTCCATTAAAAAAATTTGGACGCCCGTTCGCCCATCCCGCACGGCCTTATCCACCCATGCCTGACTCGTCGCGTTCGTCTTCCGCGCCACTGCCCGCGCTTTATTGTGGCCGTTGTCCTCCATCCTCGGCAGCTCCGGCGTCGGTCCGTCGCCGGCCTGGACGGGCGCGACCTCCCATCGGTCGGATCGGGAGGTCTGCCGCCGCCGGCCGGCATGACCTCCCATCTCCCCACGCTTGTCGTTGTCGTCCTCCTACCCGTGTGTTCGTCTTCCTTGCCTCTCGCCCACGCTTCGTGGTCGTCGTCCTCCATCCTCGTCAGGTCTGACGCCGAGTCCGCCGTCGGCTGGGCTGACGCGACCTCCCATCGACCGTCGTCCACCATCCTTGGCCGCCGGCTGGCCAGAACCGGCCTTTCCCCCGCTCTGTGCTGCGTTGTACAGAAGAAGGGTGAAAAATGCATATTCCAAGCCTATGTTTCAGATGTTTCATAGATATGTTGCAGGTGTTTCATGTGGATGTTGCAAAAGTAGATCGAGATGTTGCATATGTTCCACTGGTTGTACACGTATGTTGCAAGCTTCTGTATCCAATGTTTCATTTGTTTTCCAGACGTACGTTGCAAGTGTGTTTGTTTTGGATGTTGTATATGTTTCACACATATGTTGTAAGTGTTTTATCTGAATATTGCATATATTGTTGCAATGGTCTCAAGTGTTTTTCAGGTATTTTTGTAAGTGTTTCAGATGCATGCTCCAAGTGTTGCTTGAGACATATGTTGCAAGTGTTGCATCTGAATGTTTCAAGTGTAGAGCGGGTGTTGCATCTCCCTCATCGCCTTCGGCTGCCTCGCCTCGGTGTTTCCTCCTCCTCCTGATGCCGGTTGGGTATCCGCCGCTCCTCCCTCCTCTTCTCGATGTTGTTGACATTCGGGGTGGCACGGGTTCCGCGTGAGCGCATGAAACGACATAGAAAAGGACTGCAAGTGCAGACGTTCGGATGTCAAGACGCCAACAAGCCCGAATTCATAATGGTTCAAACACACACGAGACCTTTGTCCCTCGCCTCAACATCGACTCATATGTGCTTCGCATGCAGAGAGACGACGATTAAACAACGAAGACTGCTGACTTGGAATGGTGAATATATAATCACGTGGTTGATTGCTCCACGAGCAAGCGGCTGGAAAGTAAGTTAATTGCCGCCGATCGTGGGCACTTGTTTTTTACATTGGGCGAGTGACTGACGACGGCCGAACGAGAGCTGAGATGAGGGGAGAGCTGAGATGAGTTCGATCGATGGATCCACAGGGGCGGGTGGATTTTATTGTGACAGCGATCGGAGGCGGGAGGTCCTTGTCCGCGCACGGTAGAGAAGATAAATTCAGAGAACGCCTTTCGTTCTAGAATGCGTTGAATGATTGGCGCTCTGCCGCCCACACACATGTATTTTTTTTCTTTTTTTTTTGTTTGTAGTAGTTTAGGGCTACATGCTGCCGTTTTGAGAAGAACACAAGGATATAAGGGTCTCTTTCGGACGTGCGTTTCAGAGGCTCTGGGCATCAGGATATGTTGTCTTTTGGGAGCATGATCCTTTTTTTATTTTTTAAATATCGAGCAAAGATATGAGTATTTGGCATGATAGTTAGTTTACAGAGGAATATTAATTCCTACACCTGGAGTGGAAGAGTCAAATGTGTCCTCTTCTTGCTTGACATGTTATCTTTCGTTCTTTAATTTCCTGACAAGGAGATAAGACAAATTAATTTCAGCCTGTTTGTTTTTCAATTTGCGAAGAAGCGGGTTCACGTACTCTCAGATTTCTATAGCTGTCTTAAATAAAAAAAATTAAACGTTGACTGATTTTTTTAGAAAAAGATTTATGACATAAAATTAGTATCATTAGATATACGTTAGAATATATTTTTATAATGGCCCTGTTCGTTTGGCTGAAATTGGCTGAAAAAACAAGCCAAAGCTGAAATGTTGTGAGAGAAAAACATTATTCCGGCTGAAAAAAGAAGCTGAATAAACCAGCTTTTAAGATAAGCCGAACGGGGCCAATATGTTTATTTTATGTCATTAATTACTCTTTACTATACAGTTAGTCAAATTTAAGATAGTTTGCTTGTATGGATTCTAGTAATTGATTTATTAGGAGACCAAAGGAGTAATACTACAAAACACACCATTGTGTTTCTAGAAGAACGATCTCGAGTGGGGGCCATTTGCGCTCTAATTTTCAAACGAACTCGCCACCGCGATTTGCTAGAAATCATTCCGTTCCATCCATGCCTGCTACGTACTACCAATCGATCAGTCTCCCAAGTCGGTTGCAACTATGGCGGCGGCCAGGCTAGTGCGTAGTATTTCCTTGCAACTATGGCGGCGATGATCTACCTTCCGTGCCGTGCAAGAACACGTAACGGAATGATTTCGGATTTCCTATGTAGTACGCCTAACGGGGCACACCAGAGTGTCAACGCCTGGAACTGGAAGGTCATTTTCTTCAGATACGAAATCGTCCTGCAGGGAAAAAGCGAAACAGTACCCATGGATGGAAGCACGTGGACAATTGGAAGCGTTTTGCATTGGAGCATGGAGGTACTGACAGGAAGGATCACACACCAAACACAGTGATTGATTAGGGGGCCGGGGAGGACGTGTGTACTCTGCCCGGCTTGTTAATTAGCGGGGATGCTTGCAAGCAACCCTCTCAGCTCAGCCTCGAGTGGTTTGACGAAGAGAAGAAGAGGGACGGTACACGGTAGGTGCCGCCGCGCCATCTCCAGCTGTCCACCCACCCAACCCAAGTCCCAGCCCAACTCTGTTTCGGGAGCCCGTACGTGCAACGTGACACGGACACGGGGCAGCAGGTGCATGGTCAATCGGCGTCATCGCAGGAGGAGAAACGAACGAACGAACGAAGCCGGCCGTCCGGCGTCCGCGTCGCGATGTGGTGCTCCTGGCGCGGGGCTGGAGTCTGGAGACCTGGTGGTGGCGTGGCGCACCACGTGGCTGGCGCCCGTGGGCGTGTTTGTTTGGCGCCGCGCCGTTGCGCGCACGCCCTCTGACTTTCGCGGCCGCTATATACGCTGCGGGCCTGTTCGTCACGCACGGGTTCTGCTCGGGCGCGAGGATGGGGACCTGAGAAGGGCGGTTCGCACTCGCACGGCACCGGTCAGGTGGCGGATCTCATCTCCATGACGAAAGAATTCTGCTAGCCCGCTAGCGCACGTTTCGTGGGGAAGAAAAAAGCGCAGGGGCGGGGCGGCACGGCCAAGTTACGAATCCCGGCCCTGCCGCCCGTAACCAGATCTCGTAGCGTCCTCTCTTTCTCCCCCCCTCCCCCCTCTGCAGTCGTACGGACGGATGCGCGCGGGCGCGGCCAACAAAGCATTGCACGGCACCGGCCGGCGGCGCGCTGCCCTTCGGCGTGGCGATGACAACGGCCGAATTCCTCCGTGGCCACGAGGCGAGTCTCCAAAGGATCGAGATCGAATGCGGACATGCGGCCCACCCACCCGTCGTGCAGGGGATGGGCCTCACCAACAAGAGGCCCTAAAACCTTGTATTGGGCGTTACTATTAGATCGTGCACTGTCTGTCTCGGTAAGACGATCTCCAACACTATCCAAAATAAAATGTGGAAAGGCATATGATCCAGTGATAGGACAGTCCCACATGTGTCACACTTTTTTCAAGATTTTATCTGGAAA